AAAATTTATCAATTTGCACAATAAAAGTCAAGTTAGTAGAAGAAAAAAAATTATTGAATATAACAAATTTCTTTTTGAGTTTTTTGCATATTCAATTAAATTAATTTGTATTAGATTTTCCTAAATTAAGTATAAAGAAAAAGTACTTTATTCTCCTATTAATTAAACATCAGTACTCTTTTCTACGTAATCAAAAGTTAAGATTATTTGATTACACACAAATACATTCCAAAAATAACTTGAGAAATAAAATTTTAAAAATTGAAAATAATAGAAATTAAGATCTTTTTTTATATTTTAGGTTTCAAAAAGTATTTTCATTTTAAACCTTTTATAGAGAAGGCTCTGAATGAATATCGTAATTATTAAATTATTTTAATTTCTTTAAGGATCAAAATAACAAAGCATAAGTTTTTAAATTTTAACTTCAATTATTCGTCTTATTTGGATAGTTATTAATAATTCAAAAAAATTAATTTCAAGTGACAAACAAGTAAAATAAATTGATAATTTCCCAAATATATCCCTATCTTTTGAGCCTCTTACTTGAATATATTTTTCACATATTCAAACAATTTACAAAAACAAATTGCAACATCAGGTAGAAAAACACAATTTATTAATCTCTTTTTTAATTTTAACTATAATATGAAAGCTAGAGGAAATAAGGTATTTTTTGTGTATATACTAAGAAAAGATATGAATTAAATAAATAAAAGTTTTATTTTATATAGATTAAGCTATAATCTTACTGAGCTGCATGCCCAGGGTGAACTAAAATATTAATTTTTTTTTTGTACAACCTTCGGTGTACAAATTTTTTTTTATATTCAAATAAATTAATTTCTAGTAAATTTTTATTTCCCCCTATACTTTGAGGATCAAAATAACAAAAAATTAGTTTTTAAAATTGATTTTTGATTGAATAAGGATGAAGAGAGTAGTAAATTTATGAATTAGTAATGTTTATTAAAAAAAAAGTATTTTATCTTTATTTTGTATTTTCCTCTTAATCTAATATCAACACCAATTTTACCTACGTAATCTAAAGTTAAGAATATTTGATTACATGCAATTAAATTCCAAAAATAATTTGAGAAATAAAATTTAAAAATTTAAAATATAATAGAAATTAAAAAGTTTTTACATAATTAATATTTAAAAAAGTATTTTCATGTTAAAATTTCAATAAAAATGGCTCTTAAAATCTTAATTATTAAATTATTTTAATTACTTTGAGGATACAAATAACAAAACATAAGTTTTTGCATATTAACTTCAATTTTTTATCTAATTTGGATAGTTGTTAATAATTCAAAAAAATTAACTACAAGGAACAAACAAATTGATAATTTCTTAAGTATATGCATATCTTTCTTTAGAGGAATACTTATAACTGTAACTAAATTAAAAATTCATATCAAATAGTTTGAGAGCCTCCTTACCTTAGAATTAGCTTTAAAGCAATATATATATTGTTAGAACAAGTCAATTTATTAATGTCTTTTTCCATTTTTAACTAAAATATGTTAGCTTAATTTAGATAAAATAGTCTTTTTTTAATTCATATCTTTTCTCAGTCAACAAACAAAAATTACTGTATTACCTTAATAAGCTTACTAATCTGTATGCGAAGGGTGAGCATAAAAACTTATTTTAATGAATTAGCATACTTGACAGTGAATCTTCCTGTTTAAATACAACAATTGAAGCTGCTAAAGTTATTATTTTGAATTATGTCTTAATCTATGTCAAATAAATTAAAAAATCATTATTATTTTTTAAGTTTACTAAAGCATAAATAACATTTTATTTATATTTATTAAAATTCTCTACTGTTGTTTATTGGCTTAAAAATGATTTTTTATAAAAAAATACAATCAATAAGAAATTATACTTGAAATAGATTTTGAGCCAACCTATTCAAATAAATAATTGTGTTTATTTTATAAGCCTTAGAGAAATTGCAAGGAGTAAGAAAAGGCTTATAAATGATAGTATTTCTAATATTTGTAATTCTATCGCAGATTAAAGTTAAAATCATATTTAAAAATGAAGGAATTTTTTTGTAAATAAAATTAATTTATAATAAATTAAATGAATTCATTTTTGTTAACTTAATAATAATATTTTAAATGTGTATTGACATATCAATATTCAAACTAATAAATTATTCTTTTTATAATGAATTTTGAATACCCATTTTTTAATATAAAACTAAGATTTACAATTAGCATAACTTATTATGTAATCAATATAAATTAAATATTTATCTTTTTTTATATTATATAGATGGATATGGTTTTAAATATGGCTATTTACTAAATAGTGGTAATAATTATTTATTCATGTTCTAAAAATGTAATAAAAAATGTTGCTATTAACTAAATGGTCTTTTTTATTTTGAATATTATTTAATATATTTCACTTATCAATTAGACTTTGAAAAGGTTAAAAGACTTTATTTTAAAAAAAACAATCAATCTGATATGTTTAAAAAAATGTAAAATTTATCAATTTGCACAATAAAATAAATAGGAGAAGAAAAAATTTATTGAACATAACAAATTTCTTTCTAAGTTTTTTGCATTTTCAAATCAATTTTTTCTAGTAAATTTTGTGATATTAAGTAAAAAAAAAGTATTTTATTTTCCTCCTAATCTAACATCAGCACTCTATTCTACTTAATCAAAAATCAAGATTATTTGATTACAAGCACATTCTAAAAATATTTTGAGAAATAAAATTTAACAATTTAAATAAGATATTTTTTTAAATGAAGGTTTCAAAAAGTAATTTAACACTCAATCTTTGATAGAGAAGGTTTTGAATATCTGAATTATTATATGATTATAATTAAATTAAGGATAAAAATAGCAAAAAATAAGTTTTTATTATAATTTCAATTTCAATTTTTCATCAGATTTTGATAGTTGTCAATAATTAAAAAAAATTAACTACAAAGAACAAACAATCAAAAATAAATTTGAAAATTCCTAATTATATGTATATCTTTGGAGGAGTTCATTGGTTAAGGATGATAAGAGTAGTAAATTTACTAATGTGTGGTGCTGATTAAAAAAAAGTATTATATCTTCATTTTGTATTTTCCTCATAATCTAACATCAGCTAGCAACTATTCTACCTACGTAATCTAGAGCTGAGATTATTTGATTACGATTACACTCCAAAAATATTTTGATAAATAAAATTTAAATTTTAATGGAAATTAAGATCCTTTTATTTATTTAATGTTTCAAATCGTATTTTCATGTTAAAATTTTAATAGAAAAAACTCTAAATATCTTAATTATTAAATTATTGTAATTAATTTGTGGATTAAAATAACAAAACATAAGTTTTTACATTTTAACTTCAACTTTTTATTTTATTTTGTTAGTTGTTAATAATTCAAAAAAATTAACTACAAGGAACAAACAAGCTAAACAAATTGATAATTTCCTATTGTAGGAGTACTTATATCTGTAACTAAATTAATAATAATTTAATAAATTATTCATATGAAATAGTTTTAGAGCCTCCTTACTTTAGAATTGGCTTTAAAGCGATATATATATTGCAAGAGCAAGGCAATTTATTTTATTTTATTTCATTTTTAACTATAATATGTTAGCTTAATTTAAATAAAATAAATCTTTTATATAATTAATATATTTTCTCAGTCTATACTTAAAAAATACCTTATTACCTCAATAAGCTTACTAAGTTGTATGCTTAGGGTGAACATAAATATTAATTTTTTTAAAATATTTTTTTTGACGAAATTAACGCTATGACAACACTTTTTTCACCCCTGGTTATAATATCTAAAATATCTTTATTGTTACTGAATATTCTCTATTCTATAAAAAATATAGGAAGAAAATACTCTAAAGAAAGGTTTATGATTATTTTTGGAGTAAGCATTTAAGCTTCAAAAATGTTAAAATAGAAGATCTTCCTGTTTAATGGAATACAACTCAAAATGCATGGATGACCTCATAACTTTTTGAATTGTGGCTTCATAAATTATTTAATACCTCTGTTAGAATAAAAAAATTTAACCATAATATATTACCTTAATTTAGATAAAATATGTCTTTTTTTAATTCATATCTTTTCTCAGTCTAAAAACAAAAAATTAGTTTTTTAAATTGATTCTTGATTGATTAATTAAGAATAGAGTAATAAATTTACGAATTAGTGATGTAAATTAAAAATAAAAGAATTTTATTTTCATTTTGTATTTTCCTCCAATCTAACATCAACATTGAATTCTACGTAATCCAAAGTGGGGATTATTTAATTATAATTACATTCCAAAATCATTTTGAGGAATAAAATTTAAAAATGTAAAATATATTAAATAGACCTTTTTTTATATTCCTAGTTTCAAAAATTATTTTCATATTAAAATTTTAATAGATAATTTATGAATATCTTAACTATAAAATTATTGTAATTGCTTTGAGAATTGAAATAACAAAGCATAAGTTTTTAAATTGTAATTTACAATTTTTCATCAGATTTTGATAGTTGTCAATAATTAAAAAAAATTTAACTACAAAGAACAAACTGATAATTCCCAATCATATGATTATCTTTAAAGGAGTTCATATAACTTTAAATAAATTAAAATTCTTCATATGAAATAACTTGAAAGCCTTCTTCCTTACTTACTTACTTACTTACTTTAGAACTAACTTTAAAGTGGTATATATATTTCTCACAAATTCAAACAATTTACAAAAAACAAATTAATACCTGTTAGAATAAAAAAAATTATTAATCTCTTTTTTATTTTTAAATAAAATAAGTCTTTGATTTAATTCATATCTTTTCTCAGTCTAAAAACAAAAAACTAGTTTTTAAAATTGAATTTTCCTCATAATATGACATCATCACCTTTTCAGTTACCTAATCTAAAGTTGAGATTATTAGATTACATATAATTACATTCCAAAAATATCTTGAGAAATAACATTTTTAAATTTAAATAATATAATAGAAATAAAGATCTTTTTATATATTTAAGGTTTTAAAATTATTATCATGTTAAAATTTTAATAGACTAGGTTGTTCTGAATATCTTAATTATTAAATTATTGATATTATTTTGAGGATATAAATAAAAAAATGTAAGCTTTTGTATTTTAACTTCGCTTTTTTATCTGATTTAGGTAGTTGTTCATAATTTAAAAAAGTAACGTGACTACAAAGAAACAACCAAGCAAAACAAATTGATAATTTCCCATTCGAGGAGTACTTATAAGTGTAACAAAATTAAAAGTAATTTAATCAATCATATATATGAAATAGATTGAGAGTCTCATTATTTTAGAACTAGCTTTAAAGTGATATATATATTGTTAGTGAAAGACAATTTATTAATCTCTTTTTTTATTTTTAACCATAATATATAATATGTTAGCTTAATTTAGATAAAATAAGTCTTTTATTTATTTAATTAATATCTTTTCTCAGTCTATACACAAAAATAATGTATTGCCTCAATAAGTTTACTAAGCATATGCCGAGGGTGAACAAAAATATTAATTTTTTTTAAAATCTTAAAAACTCCAATCAACATCCATAAAAACATAAAAATGAAATTAGAAGTAATACAGTAAATTATTCAAATTGATTTTTGAGAGATTAAGGATGAAGAAAGTAAAAAATTAACGAATTAGTAGCTATTTTAGCTTAAAGTTAAGCTTTGACTAAATATGTTTTGTTTAATTGCTAATAAAAGTATTTTATTTTGCATCTTACGTCAAATATCTGTACATAACTAATCTTAGGAAGATATTATGAATCTTTAAATCAAATAGAACCAACTAATAAAAATCTAATTTTGTTTGCATCATTTCTCATATTTAAATGGTTGTAAGCACAATTTATCAAAGAGTCAATTGATAGCTAAAATGTCATAATTTTTTCTAAATATGTTGTAATTCCTCAAAAAATACAGAGAGAAGACTTAGTGAGGAATACGTTTTTGCTTAAATTAGGAGATCATCTATTTTGTATGATTATTATATTTTTGATTGATGACGTTTACTGTCAGTATCTCACTTAAATAATATTTTAATTATTTTTAGAATCAATGATTTGTTTACCACAAACATATAATTTCTAAAAAATCTATTTTTCCTTTCAGATTTTAACAGACATTCTTATTTAATGTAAGATTCTAGATTTTCAAACTAAAATATTTATCTATAAAAGAAAATTGATATCCTTAAATATCATTCATCCATTTATTTATTGGAAACCCACTCATAGTTTGTTTGAAAGTAATATTTTACTAAGTTTTTCTCATTATATAAAATTAAAATAAATTCATTGATTTTAAGCAGCAATTGAAAGATATATATGTCAGTCATCCAGTTACATGATATTCACTAATGAAAAATACTTTATATTTATTTATTAATAAAATAAAATTTAACTAGTTTGTATGGAATATTGAAATTTGTTATTATAAATTTAAATTAAAGGATTTTATTTTTATTAACTTAACTTATAGATAATTCAATACCAACACTTTAAAAAGAGCCAGAATAATACTCAATAGATTTTATAAATTATAAATAAGGAAAAAAATAGATCAAAAAAATAATTTAAAGAAAGTATTAAAAATGGATTTCGGAAGCGATAGTGAAGAAACAAAGTCAAATGGATGTAATGAAGATTAAAATCTTTAAGATATCTAAATGGAAGAAATATAGAGAAATTAATAGAGCTCATAGTAAAGCAGTTCGTATGTCTAAAACTCTTAAATGGAAATACAGAAAGTAAACTTGTAAGAAGACATTCCGTCTTGGAATCTTACTTAAGTTGCTCCATAAAAAATTCAAGAGTAACTTGAAAGCTAATTAAAAGACCTTCTTAAATAACTAGATTTAGAAAATGAAAGCTACATTTAATCTGAGATCTAAGATACACTTGATTAAATTGAAAATTGTAAAAAGAGAAATCAACAAAATAAATTGCTTGAAAAATAAGACCTTCTTAAAAAACTGAGATAAGCTGAATAATTTGTGTAAAAATTAAAAGATTTGAAGTAGTAAACTGAAGGTTCCTAAAAATAAACTTAATAATAATAAGTTGAAAATTAATTAAATTAACTTCTTAATGAGTTAGAGCTACATGATGCAAAACTAATAACAGAAGAAATAGAAGAAGTTAAAGATCTGATTGAAAAGTAAACTAGTAGAAATTAGCTAAACAAGGTTTCTGAATCTAAATAAAGACTTGCTAAGTTAGATTAAGCCCAAGCAAAGTACAAGGAATTACTAGCATTAAAAGGAGAAACTCTACTTGATTAAAATTAAGTTAAATAATAATAATTAGGAGAATAATTGAAAGTTTTACTGTAAGAACTAGATTTAGAAAATGAAAGCTACATTTAATCTGAGATCTAAGATACACTTGATTAAATTGAAAATTGTAAAAAGAGAAATCAACAAAATAAATTACTTGAAAAATAAGACACTCTTCAAAAACTGAGATAAGCTGAAGAAATTGTAAAATAATTAAAAGATTTGAAGTAATAAACTGAAGGTTCTTAAAATTAATCTTAATAATAATAACTTGAAAGTTAATTAAATTAACTTCTTAATGAATTAGAGCTACATGAAGCAAAACTAATAACAGAAGAAATAGAAGAAATTAAAGATCTGATTGAAAAGTAAACTAGTAGAAATTAGCTAAGTAAGGTATCTGAATCTAAAATAAGACTTGCTAAGTTAGAATAAGCCCAAGTAAAGTACAATGAATTACTAGCATTAAAAGGAGAAACTGTACTTGATTAAAATTAAGTTAAATAATAATAATTAGAAGAAAAATTGAAAACTTTACTGAAAGAACTAGATTTAGAAAATGAAAGCTACATTTAAGCTGAGATCTAAGATACACTTGATTAAATTGAAAGTTGTCAAAAGAAAAATTAACAAAATAAAGTGCTTTAAAAAAAGGAAACTCTTGATAAACTAAAAGAAGCAGAAAAAATTGTTAAAGAATTAAATGATTTGAAATCATAAACTGAAAAACCTTAAGATCAAACTTAATAATAATAACTTGAAAGTGAATTAAATTAAATATTTGAAGATTTAGACATACATGATGCAAATATATTATAAGAAGAAATAAATGATGTTGAAAATCAAATTCAAAAGTATCTGAGCAAAAACTAGTAAAACAATGCCAATTAATCCAAATTAAGACTTGAAAAGTTAAAAAAAGCATCAGCAATACATAAGGAATTACTAGAATTGAAAGGAGAAACTATAATTGATTAAAATAAAGCTAAATAGTAATAATTAGATGAGAAATTGAATACTTTACTATAATAACTCGATTTAAAAGATGCTAGCCTAATTTAATCTGAGATAAAAGAAGTATTAGACGAAATCGAAGTGTATGAAAAGAGAAATCAACAAAGTAAAGTACAATAAAAAAAAGAAACTCTTCAAAAACTGAAAGATGCTGAAATAATTGCAAAAGAATTAAAAGATTTGATGAATTAAATAGAAGGCTCTTAAAATGCAAATTAATCATAATAATTTGAAAGTTAATTAAATTCAATCCTTAAAGAATTAGATATAAGTGATGCAAATTCAATACAAGATGAAATTGAAGATGCTGAAAATCAAGTTCAAAAGTATATGAGCAAAAGTTAGTTAAACAATGCCAATTAATCTAAAATAAGAATTGAAAAGCTGAAAGAAGCACAAAAAATATACATTTAATTAAATAATAAGAATAATGAAAATCAAATAGAATAATCATAGCCTGAAGATTCAAATAATAATCAAACGGAAATTAAGGAAAATTAATGTCAAGATACTAATCTCCCTAAAAATCAACCTTTAGACATAACAAAAAGGTATAACAACTATGATGATTTAAGAAAAGACATCTCTTTAACCCCAGAAAGTAGTGAAAAATACTTACTTGAAATGATAGAAATTTGTTTAAGTTTGCATCAATAGGTAGATACTCCTCAAACTGATTCAGGAAACTAGTAACTTTTGACTTAGAAAGAAAAAATCGAAAAGCGCTTGAAAGTTGAAGAATTAATAACTCCAGAAATAAACTAAAATTTACAAAATATAAAATTAAACATAGATTAAGATAATTTTGAAGGTATTATTGATGAAACAGATAAGCTTATTAAAAAGGTAAGACCTTTAAATATTCACGAAATGAAAAGGTTGATTCATGAAGCAGATAAAGCTGCTAAAGTTATAGAAGGATAAGACATTATTATACTTTTAGGTGGAACAGGAGCAGGTAAATCTACTACTATTCACTTTTTAGCTGGCTCAGAGATGGCTCAGAAAAGAATCTAAATACAAGAGGGTACTTTTTATGATTACATAGGTCCTGTTAAAATAAAGAATAAGACACTTTAAAAAATAAAAGTAGGATTTTCAGCTACCTCTGAGACTCGTTTTATTACACCTGTAAATATTAATTTTAAAGACCTTAATATTCCTTCAAACGATTCAATTATTTTATGTGATTCACCTGGTTTTGATGACACTGCTGGACCAGAAGTAGATATAGCAAATGGCTTAGGAATTGTTAAAGCAATAAAAAAATGCAAGAGTGTGAGACCTGTAATATTACTAAGTTTCAAGAGTTAAGGTGATAGAGGCTAAGGCATTAAGCAATTAGCTCACATACTGGTAGGATTTGTTGAAGATATTTAAGATAAATTAAGCTCCTTTTCTTATTTATTTTCAAAATATCCTAAAGATTATAATATTAATTCTGAGTTAATCAATATTAAAAAAAGTCTTGATTCAAATATAGAAGAAAAATCTGATAAAGCTTTTGTTAGTCTATTTGAAGACATGATTGAAAAAACTAAGAAATCATGTAACAAAATAGATCCTATTAAAGGAAATCCAGCTGAAATTTTAAAAAGCCTAATTAAACAGGAAGGAATTTTAGATCCTAGTTCCGTTTTCAAATTTTCCATAACAACTAATTCTTATTCTGCAATTACTGAGTATACATAAAAAACACAATAAACTATAATTTCTGCACTAAGTAGAAGTGAGTATGAATTAATTAATTTTAAGTTAGACGAACTAAAATTTTTAATGGACATCTTAAGTTAAGAATCTACAAAATAAACTTATGAGTATTGTGTAAATTATATTAAGGATGTTATCAAGAAAGAATATGAAAATGCTACTGAGTAGCTAAATTAATAAATAAACAACAACAACAAATTAGATACAAATTATCTAAGGTAATATTAAGAACTTATTTAAAAGTTTTAATAAATATAAAGCTTAAAAAACAATCATTTAGGTGCTCATACTAGCAATGCTAATGATTTAATTGATCAATTAAAGTTTGCAATTAAAAAGCTTGCTGAAGTTTTTGACCAAGAAAATATCATTCAAACTTCAGTTTTAGTTAATCTAGGTAATATTAAGCTGATTTCTGAGTACTTTCCAGAAGTAATGTAGTAATATAATGAAGCGTGTTAAAAGATATAAAAATAAATTGAAGATGTTTTTGCTTCTTGTATTCAAGCATTAAAAAACAAAAATTTTGATGATCTAGCTCAAGCAATTTATAAAATAACTCAATATCGAAAGCAATTTAAAAATCACTTAGATGATTAGCCTATTTTGGATCAATTAGAAAGAATCAAAGATTAATTTAAAACGAGAATAGACTAATCAGTTTAAGAAGTAATTGAAATTTTGAAATTATAATTACTAAAAGACGAAGATATTAACATTATAAATGAATAAATTTCAATTATCGAAAATGCTGAAAAGAATTTACTACTTGCTTAAAATATTAATATTGATTATGTTAAAAATCAAAAAAACAATCTTTTTAAAAATTTATTAGAAAAATTTGAAAAGATTAGCAAAAAGATTGAAGAGATTCTTAGAAAAGAACCAGATTAGGCATTTCTTTAATTAAAAAACCTTGTAGAGGAGATGGATTAATTTAGAAAAATAAATGGAATAGAGAATAGAACTGCTGATACCTACTACAAATCTATCTAGGAAATATAGTCATTAATGCAATAAATTAAAAGAGATGTAGAATAACTTTTGAGTGATTTCTAGCATGATAAGAAGAAAGTAGACTTCTAAAAGATTTACCGTTGTTTAAATCAATTAAAATGTGCTCAATGGATGAACGATGTAAATAAAGGAGCTTATGATTAAACTATAACTCATATATCATAAGAGCTTTTGAAGTATTCTTAATTTGAAATCATTTAAAAACTAGGAGAAATAGATTTAAGCTAAAAGAATTATGGAAATATCTAAGTAGCTTCTGAATTGATTAAAGAATTGGAAGCAATGATATTGTTTGAAGAATACAATTCTAAATTAACAGAGTTAAGAGAAAATGCATGCTCTATGTTTAAAAAATCAGTATAAGTTGTCTTTAATTAAGTAAAAGAATTAATAAATGCAGCTAGTACTGGTGGTTAGCTTTTCTAAGTTAAAGATAAGGAAGAAGAAAAATAAGAATTAGAAAAATCAGAATAAAAGGAATAACAATTAAATAGATAACGTTTATTAGTAAAGCTTGATGGAAGTAAAATTGAAGATTATCTTAATTATATTCGTGTTGCCTGCTAAAATAAGTGGACAAGAGATGACGCTAATACTTTATTGGAATAATTGAAAGAATTTTTAGCATTTTACAAAGAATCCAAAAATTAATAAATCCTTAATCACTACGAGAATATCATAGATTTACATGAATAAGATGAAAAAAAAAAGACTTAGAGTGCTTTATAATTATCAGAACTTATTCAAGAATTAATGAGCTTATAAAAATATGAAGAGACTAGCTCGTTGATTTAACCAAATTAATTGATTCAAGATTAAAAAAATAGGATGTAATAGTATTACATAGAATTGAGTCATGATATGAGTTAACCTACGATAGATAAATAAAAATTAGCAAAATCTATTATTATATCTAAACTATTAAGTCATACTGATAATAAATTTGAAGAAAATAAATTTTTCAACCTCTACTAGTCTAAGCAAAATGCTTTGAATGATGAATTCAAAGATAATTACAAAAAAATATTACAAGCAATAGAAAAAAATGATTTTGTTGCAGTTAAAACTGAATTAATGTAACTCGATGATAATCCTGTAAATTAGAAAGCTATGAATTAGATAAAGGCATAACTTTAATATCAAACTGAAACTTTGTTAGAATAGGCTAAATTAGATGCATTAGCACTTGGAAATTAAATTGAAAAAGATATTATCATGAAGATAATTAAAACTATTGAAATAATTAAAAAATCAAAGTCTTCTTTTAAAGAATATTTTGAAAAAAGTTTTTTGGAAACTATTGATACTGAAATAGAATCAATAATTTCAGATATTGATCAAAAGATTTCAAAATTTTTAGAAAGCATTACTGCACTTTTAAAGTAATCTGACTTTTTTGAAGTTGAAGAAAAGAGAGAATATATTACCTAAATTTTATAATTATTAGCTGCTCATAGTAAAGATAAAAAAAATAAAGATAAATTAAATTAATTATAGAGTGATCTAGAAAAAAAAGTAGAAGAAATAACAGCAACTAAATATGAAGATGAAAAAGATTTTATATTTCACCCTCCAAAATAAATTTTAGAAAAGCTCAGTAAGGTTAAAGGTAGAAACCTTAAATATGCAGAGTGCTATACAAATTTATAGCAGATACTTATCATTAAAGTAAGACAACAAATAGTAGATTATTAATCTTCAGATTCAAGTCAACAATCATAACAAATCTTAAAAGTTGAAACTCTCATGAACTCAGTACCTGAAGAATTAAAATAAGCATTAAAAGATTAATTTGATACTTCTAAATAATAAAATGAGTAGAGAAGGAAAGTCTTTGAAGATTAATTTAACGAACTTTAGTCATGTGAAGATTTAGACAGGAAAAAAGTATTTTTAGATGAGTGCAAAGCATAAAAAATGCATAATTTTGAAGATAAGATGAGAAAATTAGTTTAAGAAGAATGTTAATCTATACTTAGTAAATTTTAAGAAGATATGGAAAGTGGTAAACCTAAAGATGGAGTACAAAAAGCCATTAAACTTTTAGAATATAATAAACATTTTGAAAATGATGAAAAAATAAAATCTTAATTTGAGAAAGTATCAAACACAATAAAAGAAGAAATGAAAAATAAGGTGAATAATTTAAAATGCATAGAAAAGTTTGAGGACAACACTGATTAATATGAGAAAGAGTATGAATTATTCTTGAATCTGTTGTAAACTATTAAAGACTACAAGGAATAATTGTTATCAAGTGATTTTGATAAAATTTTACAGGAATTTTGCTCAATTCTACAAACCTTCTTTATTGATATTTTCAAAAATTTTGATGAAGACTTAAATAATGATAAAGTACAACATATCGAAAAAGATCTTACAACAATTAAAAAATGGGAAAATTTAGTTTAAAAGCTAAAAAAAGATTTTTAAAAAGTAAATAATTTGAGTTCTTGCTTCGAATAGTTACCAAAGGCTATTGCCACTATTTAAGAAAAAAGTGTAAGCTTTAAAGAATGCATGGAAAAACTTGCTAATCGTTTATTTGATTCTAAAAACGATATTATGAAGTTTAATTTCATTTAAGATCTAAATAAGGATGATTACTACAAATAGATATAAAAAGGTTTATAAACACTTAAATAAGCACAAGAAGCCAAAATTGACTTTAAAGAAACTAAATTTGAACCTGAATGCTATGAAAAGGAATGCATTCCAACTATAGTAAAGAAAATTGAAGAAGAAGAAGAAAAAGTTTATTAGGTATTAAGAAAAGAAGACTCATAGATTTAAGATAAGGATTATAAACAAATTAATCAGTTTTATGAGAATATTGAGAGTTTAAAGAATAATGTTAACTAATTTATACCAGTTGAAAAACATATTGATGAACTTAATGATAAAATTGACTAGAGAATAGATAAAATAGAAAATAACATTGATTTAGAAAATGTTGACAGTGTCGCTTAAAACATTATTCAAATGAAAAAACACTCTGAAAATTTACATCCATTTAAGAAAAAGATTTCTGGAAAACTAGATAATTTTTTAAAAAATAAATATTTTAAAGACAAAGAATCTAAATCTATGAAAATGGCTAAGTTAGCAGCTCATTTATAAGATGATGAAAATGGATATGGCGCAGCTATTATAGAAGAAAGTGAAGTCTTTAAAGGAGTTTCTATTTCAATTTTTAACGAAAGTACATAAAAGCATGGTATTGATTATGTAATTGAAAACATTAGAGGTGATGAAATAGATAAAACAAAGCTCAAAGAACTGTATATGAAATTTGAAAAAGAATACTAAGAAATAGTTACAAAAAATTTATTGTATGTAGAGAAAAATACTAAGACAGATAAAGAGATTATTGAAGATCTGGTGATAAAAACTAAATAGATTACAAATAAAAAAGTAGAAATGAAGGAAGGAAAAATTAATTGGGATAATTCTTTGAGATAAAAATTACCATCTTTGGTTGCTAATTTATTTGCATTATGGACTCTTTTGAATACATAATACTTTAAAGAAGTAGCCGATTTAGAAAATAAACACAACTATTTGTTAAAACCTCATGCAGGATAAGTTATTTCTATATTCCGTTTGATAGGGATAGGATATAGTAAGGACAATCTTTATAATAATTTAGTATAATTAGGTACAGGAGAGGGTAAATCAATAATATTAGCTATTACTTCTATTACATTCGCTTTATTTGATATGGATATTTATTGTGCTTGCTATAGCGAGTATCTTAGCCAACGTGATTACAATAGTTTTGTATAATTATTTAACACACTTGGAGTCACCCCTAATATTAAATATGGTATATTTAATAAAATATGTGAATAAATTATAAATGAGAATGGATAAGTTCGTGATTTAGCTGTTAATTATATTACTAATGGTTTTTCTGGAAGAAGTAAAGGCCTTGACAAAGATAAATAAAGAAAACCAAAAATTTTATTGATTGATGAAGTAGATGTTTTCTTTTCATAAGATTTTTATGGTAAACTTTATAATCCCATAGCACGTTTATAAGATTAATGCATTATAGATCTTGCTCAATTTATATGGAATAGAAGGAGTAACTATCTTTCTCTTAAGGAAGTACAAGAAACTGAGTGTTACTAATAGTGCATTAGTAAATTTAAAAATTTGAATTGCATAATCGATGAATCTATAAAAGACATGATATCAGATTCTAGAAACTTCGAGCATAAATATGTAGTCTAAAATCTATAAATAGGTTACTAAGAATAAGATGGTATATCATTTGATATCACTTATGGCTATAAAACATTATTTGCTTATTTTTATGAATTAGAATAAAAAAGAGTAAGTGAAAGTAAATTAAAAGAAAATACATTTATAAGCATAAAATGTGGCAGCTTTTCCTATTCCGAAATTCCATTTAAATTTGATTGTATTGTGGGAGTAACAGGTACATTAGAAACTTTGAGTGTACCAGAAAAAAACATAGTTTAAAAAATATATAATATAACTAAGGATACTTATATTCCAAGTGTTTTTGGAAAAAATAACCGTAAATTCGCAGAAAAAGATGATACACATGTTGAAGATGAAGATGATTATTTTAAGGTACTTAGAAACGAAATTGAGAGAAATCTAAACAGAAATGGTTCTGACAAAAATCTAAGATCCGTTTTGGTTTTCTTTGAATCAAAATAGAAGCTAATTAATTTCTACTAGTCTGATTAAATGAAAGACATTAAGATGGATGTTGAAATTATTACAGAAGAAGTATCAACTAATAATGATAAAAAATAACAATTAATTAAGAAAGCTACTGTTTCTGGGTAAATAACTCTCCTAACTTCTTCATTTGGACGTGGAACAGATTTTATTTGTCGTGACTAAAAAGTGTTAAATAGTGGAGGAGTACATGTTATTTAAACATTTTATTCAAGTAAGAAATCTGAAGAGGTTTAAATTATGGGCAGAAGTGCTAGGTAGGGATAAGTTGGATCTTATAGTTTGGTTCTTTTGGATTAAGAGCTATAAAGGGTTATAGGACCTGGATATGAATAAGCACTAAAAGACATGAGAGATAATAATAACCACTACAAAAAACTAGGTGAATATCGTAAACTAAGAGAGGATTAAGAATATGATAATAGAAACAAATTTATTGAACAAATAAAGAAAGATCATGAGGAGGGATAAAAATTTGTATAGGCCATGTTAGAACAGGATGAAAAATTTATTAAAGAGTTCTTAGCAAGCAAAAATAAAGGTACAAATGAAATACCTAATCTAATTCGTATTCTTTGTTTAGTTGATGGCACAGGGTCTATGGGACCTTTATTAAATAAAGCTAAAACAACAGTAAGTGAAATGTTCGAAAGATCTTGTAAAATTATCAAAAATACTAAAAAAAATATTCCAGAGGATTGTTTCAAGCTGTAATTTGCAGTTTATAGGGATTACGATCAAAAAGAAGGTGTTCTACAAGCTTCTCCATGGGAATCAAAAGTTGATAATTTACGCTTATTTTTAGATACAGTAAAGCCTGCAGGAGGAGGAGATTATGAAGAAGCAGTTGAAATAGGTTTTTAACATGCAAATTAAGAAAATTAAAATTAAGAAATAGCAGCAATAATTTTGCTTGCAGATGCTCCTTCAAAAAGTATGTCTTCAATTAAATAATATAGAGAAAAATATGGAGGAGAAAGCTATTGGAAAACAACAAAATATTCAGAGATAACTGACTACAAAAAAGAAATGTAAAAACTAAAAGCAGCTAATATTCCTATACATAGCTTCTATTTGGATGAAGGAGCAAAAAGTAACTTTGAAGAAATTTCTGCATTTACTAATGGAAAATGTGAAGGCTTAAATATTGACTCTAATGATGCCACAGATAAATTGATTTAAATAGTTGTTGAACCAATTCTTAAAAATGTAGGTAAATAAAATGGATTAGGAGATGATTTATATCAAGAATATCTAAAATTGTTTGCTAAAAGCTATAAATGAAAATTTTCTAAAATAGCAAGAAAATTTTTAAAAGTTAAGTTTAAAATAAAAAGTTATTTATGTTTTTTTAGAAATATTTAAAAATCAGATTTATATTTTTTAGTTAGAATTATATTTATTCATTTTTATCATGTTATTATTTGAATTTAAATATCCTCAATTGTTGTAAATCATAAAAAAGGGTAGCAACTGTGAATTTAATTAATTAATAATTACTTCTTTTCTTCGTTTTTACATTTTCTGTTGCTAATTTTTTTTTTTACTTTGTGGGGCTTTATTTATTTATTTCAGTAAAATAATTATAGAATTTTAAATAAATATCTATATAAATAAGGTATATATATTTATTCAAAATAAACTAATTTTTTATTTTTATTTATTATTTAAATTCATTTATATTAATTGATTTTTGTTTTATTTTTATATAATTTATACAAAATTTATTTTTTTGCACTTTTACACTGAATATTTAATGAACAATAAACAAAATAAGTAAATAATTATAAAATATTAAATAAATAGAAATATTTGATAAATTATCATTTTTTATTGCTTAGTAAAATATTTTCAGTCTAAACCAAAGCAGATTCATAAGCACCATGAATCGTGGAGTGGTTTAAAATGCTGGTTGCTTCACCACCGAAAAATAGTCTGTTTTATAAAGGCTCTGCCAAGTCTTGTCTTTCTTTTGTCCAGTGTAAAGTTGGAGTTGTATATCCTCCTTCTATGTATTCCTTAGTAGAGTAACCTGTATAGATATGATCTTCAAGAAGTTCAGGAATTTTATCGTTCTTAAAAAGCTTTGCTAGCTTTTTCAAAAAAGTAGAAATTAATTCTTTTCTAATTTATTCATCTTCTACTTTGATAGCTACTTCTTCTACTAACAAAGTTGTTAGCACATTACTTTTAGATCTGTCCTTACAAAGACTGCTATTCCAAGTCATACCGAAATCATGGTCCCAAAGTATTATAGAATTGAAATTTTCTGGCCAAAATCTCTCTTTAAAACGATATTGCAATTTACCAGATATGCCAAAATTTATTGTTTTAATTGCATCAAGTTTGTTTTATGGGAGAGAAGGTATGAATTCAATAGAATTATTTTTCAGCTAACTAATTGTTACTGTGATTAAAACTTGCTTAGAATAGAAGGTTCTTCCATCTTTAATGGTTATTTTAATTGATTTTTCATCAGAATAATCGATTTTGCTAACTGGAGAGCTATATTATATAAGAGGTAGCACATCACCAAAAGCCTTTGTGATTACATCATAATGGGACATATTTGTGATCATTGAATGATCGCTTTTTTCAACTAACTTATCATATTCTTAGACTCCTTTCCATGAAATCTTAGATAATTAAGTTCCATTTTCTGTGCCAAGTAAATTTTGATAGAATTTTCCACATTTACTATAGATTTTTTTTTCTTCTAAGTAATCCTTAATTGAAACATCAAAAGAAAGTTGATCGTATTCTTTTTCTGTCATGTCCCAAATATCATATTGAGGGAACTGCTCAAAGAAATCATCTTCAGTAATCATTTCTTCTTTTTCAGGGTGTTCTACAAAATAAATGCTGTGGCTTATCTCAGATATGATGTCTGCTCCCATATCTTTTGCTAGCTAGAAGTAAGCGCTTTTCCTAAGGTGGATTTCTTCTCCTCCAGTCTCTACTGCAAAGTTGGCCAGATTTTCATTCTTGGAAATTCTACCACCATAAACACTCCTAGCTTCTAAAATCTTAACCTTATAGTTATTTTTAACTAAGTTATGAGCAGTTGCTAAGCCTGAAATACCTGAGCCAATCACAATAACATCGTAGATATCTTCTTCTTATTATTGTTATTGCTACAACGAAAGATTATTCAGCTATTGATTTAATTCCATTTATATTGTGCTATTTATTTTTTATTTAATTTGTTTGATCTTAATTTTTAAATTATTTATGTATTATATATATAACTAGGATTAAATTTTAGGCATATATTTAATACCAATTTATTAAATAATTATTTAAGAAAAATCTATCTTAAATTTTAGATCTATTATAGATTGATATGTAAATTTTATGTTATATTTACTAAGAAAGAACTAAAAAGTAACAAAATAAGTTATTTTACATTAATATTATAGAAACAACATAATAATACAATAAACTTCTTAACATTTTTAAAAACATAATAGAAAAATAGTTGATATTACAGAAATAAGTATTTTGAAATAATTTAAAAGTATATCTAGTGTTTAAATTTATACAAATGTAAACTCAAACCAAATATTCTTAATGATTAAATTAAGTAATTGGGTGTATTCTAATGTGTATTTTTCTTTTTCTAGTAAAAAAGAGTAATCTATAAATATTTTCTCTCTTTCACAAATAATTCAGTTCAAAAAAGCTAATAATCATTATCTATTTTTATCTGGTTGGTTTAATAATTCTATTGCAAAAATACAATATACATGTATCATTTGAAGTTTATTAGAATTCTTAACTGAAAAGAATAAAAATTTAAGAATATAATAGAGGGAATGTTAATAACTTATTCATGCAATTATCTTTTAAACTATTTCATTCATTCAATCAATCAATCAAAATTTGGAATACATTTATCTATTATATATGGGTGTAATTAAATAAAAAAGAAATTGTTTGTATAAAAAATTATTAAGAAAAAGTAAGTAAATAAATTAAATAAATCTTGGAATTATGCAATTTAAATCACACATTTATTTAGCTGCTAATTTTAAAATTTTTGATGGGTATTGTTTGATTTTTAATCTTATTTTTCTTCTATAAAAGTAATTTGTTTATCACTAAATAAAGCGAAAATTTTGCTCTAAGATTATTTTAGTTAATAAAAAAGAGTGTTCTTCTAATCAATCATTTTCATTTCAAATAAAAATTATTAATATATTTACTTAATTCATAAAATGATAGATTAATTGTATGATTCATATATGTCATTTAAATACTTATTTTTTTCTCAAAAAAGTAATTCCAACTTTAGTTAAAGAATAAAAATATTTTTTATTTATTTTTTAATTGATTTTTAATTATAACTATGATTGAATTAATACCTATAAATAAATGATAATTTTGTAATATTATTAAAATGAGGACGAAAAAGCATAATATTCTTTTGGTAATTCTTTTATTCTTAAAAATAAAGCATAATTTTGTAAAAATGTAAATCGATTAGATCATTATTTATTATTAATTATATTTGTATTTTTTCCTAATTTGTCATAAACACCCAATTACAATTTTAAAAATTAGCCATAGATAATACAAATCTAATAATTTTATTTATAATAAAATTATAACCACAAAAAAAGGACTGATTAGTGGTAGTTTATAATTTATTTTTATGAAGTAAGAAGATATTTAAAAAAATAATGATTAAAATGATTTTATATAAAAATATTCTTTATCATTAAAAAAAATATTTTTAATTTGTTGGTAAAAGTTAATAAATTTTATTATTTATAGAATTTAATACAATCTACTGTAGTTTCTTACATTTTACATTGATTGAAAAAGAAAATTTCTAATAATTTGTGAGTGATAATTTTCAACTTTTTAAAAATGAGTTTTAATTAAATAATGTGTTCATATATGAGAAAAAAAGGTAAATATTACATTATTTTGTGTATTTTATTTCCACAAAGCTTTTAAAAATTTGAATTAATAAAATACAATTAAAAATAATAAAGAGATACCAATAGATAATAAATGAATAAAAGCAAGGTCATTAGCAGTAAATTCATTGTAAAAATATTAAATATTTGATTAAAAACAGTAATAATTTATATTAATAAAATAAAATTTATCAGATTTTGATAAAATTAAAATATACTTTTATGAATTTATTTAAACTTTTATAATACTTTTATGCATAAGATTAAAAATATAGAAAGAGCATTTTCTTACACTTAGCTCATGATTTGGATTTTTCTCTTTTACTAAATAAATTCTTTTACATAATTAGTATTTTTATTTGTTTCTAATTTTGTCTTTAAATTATGATTGCTGGTTACAGAAAAATAGATTAAAGAACCACATTTGAAATATTTTTTGTATATTGAATGATTTCCTTGTTTAAAAAAGACCATATTTAGTTGTTATATATTTATTGGTTTATTTTAAAATCTTTAAAAATTTTAAATTAGATTTTATATATTTTATTATTTCAATAAAAACCAACTTTGTTTGTGCTTATGAAATAAACATAGCCATGAGAGTGAAAGAATAATAAATTAAATAAAATAATTATTTTTATTCTTAATTTAATATATTGCTTGATATTTTAAAGATAAATATTAACTTATTTATTGGAAAAGAATTAAATTGTAATGATAATTTAATTAATTTTATTGATATTAAAGATATAGATTTTGTATAGATTGTAAATAATACTAAATATTTTATTATACAATTAATAGAATTAACTTTAGTGATCTGCCAATAATTCAAAGGTATTTCATTAAATCATTCCACTAATTTTTTTCTTAGCTTGTAAATGTCTTGTAGGGAAGATTCAAAATATAACTCGAATTTAGGGAAATCAATATTTGTGTTGTGGTGTGAGACAAGCTCAGAAATAGTCTGTTGTTTGGATAATAAATAACAAAATAAGCCTCCACCGAAAGCAGATAAACCATTAATTCTAAAGACAGATTCTCCAGTAAATTATTATTATCTATTTAAATAGAAGAACAAGGTTCCTAAAAAGACTCCGAATATTGATCCATATTTTATGCAATTAAATTGTGATTATTTTATGCGATTTCTTGTTTATAGAACAAAAACTTCTAGTTCGAGCATAGTTGAAAATCTAACTTATTCATTAGTAATTTTATATCTCACATTGTTTTTCAAAAACCAATCGTTACATTTGCCCAAACATTCTTGTTCTAAAATAAATATCTATTATAGTTATTATTAATACTAGTAATTGCTACTTAATAATTAACCTGAGGGAATATGAGCGAAAGCATTTTAACTTTGCTAAGCTCCATTATTATTTTCTTATTGCTATTAGAATTATTGCTGCTATGGATTTTAGTAAGCTCTAACAGAGTTATTTTATTATTGAGGAATCATTTAATTGTTATTGTAATTGCTATTTATTTAATGCATTTACTAAATATTTTTTTCTATTACTGCTAAGCTATTGTGAAAAGTATCCTTCCTTAGTTACTTTCTTAGTGGTGTTTTTTAAGCAAATAAATAATTAACAAATTTTTCTTACAATGATAATACTTATTTACTAATTTATGTATCAAATATAAACAAAGAAATTTCTAATTAATAGAGCCAAACAAATTTCAAAAATCAGTAAATAGTAAACAAGTAAGAACTACTCAATTTAGATAAGTTTATTTTAAGACATCCTTTGTTAAAACTCCAAATTAATGAAATTATTTTTTTCTACTTTAAATTAAAAATTTAATTTTAAATATTCTAATAAGTTATAAGTATCTATTTAGTAGATTAATTTATATTTATTTTTAATTATTAAATGAAAAGAAATAAAAGGTAAATGAAATATTGCACGCAAGATAAATAAGTATTATTAAGTACATATTTTCAAAATTTTTATATTTTCATTAAAAAAGTAAAAAAATTATTAATCTCAAAATATCAAAACAAACTTCTAAAATTATTGATTTAATACATAAATTTTAGCTTATCTATATCAAAATATTAATTAAAGGTTTTTATAAATAAAATATTATGATATAGATTATAACTTTTTATACAATTTTGATACAGAATTGAAAAAATTTTTATAATATTTTAATTAAGTCAAAAGACCTTTTTTAGCTTCTAAAAATAAACAAAATTTTATGAAATAAGAATGAAGTTTTAAGTATGTTTGATGTTAACTATTTATTAATTTATAAGTTTTAAGTATTTTAGAGTTATTATTTTGTTTTTTATTTTGAAATAAGTTGATATTTTGAATTTATTTTATTTATGATGATTTATTTGTTTTAGTAATTTATTATTTAAGTTTGAGATAATTTATTGTTCGTTCAATAGATCGGAACAAATTAGAAATAGGTTTTTTTAGGATATTTTTGATGCTGTTAAAAATTTTTTAAATTCTCAATGAAAATTAATTATTTGTTTTTTATTAATTTTTCTCATTATTTTTCAAGTTTTGTTTGCTTATTTTAAATAGAGTATCTAAGATTCTATTTAATATCAATTTTTTATCTAATTATTCAAATCAAAGTAAAAATATATTTGTTGTCAAACTAATTCTTTTTTCCATTTTTAGAAAAAGAAACTTTGTGAGGCGATCTGGTATTATTGCAACTGTCACTATTATTATTGCAGTCAAATGATTTATTGTTTTGGTTAATTTTGTATGATGATCTTGATCTAACTTTGTAGTCAATTACTATTGCATCTTTCAAATCTTATTTAAGTTCTGTTTTGCTAAATTTGATGTCTCTATTTATGTAATCTCCCTTGAGAATGAAGTTTAAGCTAATTAAATCTTATTCATATTGCTAATCTTTCTATTTTCTTTACTGATTTTACAACTAAAATACATCTTTATCATATTATAACTAATTAAATAATTTGTTAAGTTTAACTTTGCTGTTCTTTCTTTTAGCATTTTTATCGCTTTAAATAATTTGCTCCATTAAAGAATCTCCTGACTCTTTGTAAAACTTTTTTTTTGACTATTCATATTTTAGCTCGACTGCTTTATTATTCTGTATATCTTCTTCGTTTATAATACTTTTTTCACATTATTTATCATCTTTAATCGAAGGTAACTGGGTTTACATATTTGACCTTGCTTGCTCAGTTTTACTGATAATAGAAAAATTATTTTTCGGACTTCTGCTTGGAGATTCTGCTGCACTTGTTTCCACATTATTTTAATTTCTGCTTCTAGATGTTTATTCTAATTTCAACAACTAAGTAAATGAAGTTTTTTCTTTTGGAGTGTTCAAAGTAAAAGCCTCAGTTATTTGATATTCATTTGAAATAGATTAACTCCTTTGCTTTTAATTATAACGGGCTTTTAATTTATTTGTATAAGAATAAGGTGTGAGACTTGGTAGAGAATCTAGTTAAATTGAATCTCCGTATTTTGAATTAATTGCATACTCTGAATCTGTATAATCAATACTCATATCTATATTTTAAGTTTCATTTTAATATGTATAATTATTAGTTGAGTTTAGCGAGTTTGGTATATGCTAAATTTATTTTTATTTCTCAAACTTAGTCTAATCTTATGTGATATCTGTCTTCTAAGTAAAACATTCCTTATATAGTTTAATTCTCTCAGGACTTAAATGTAATTTTCTATGAATAATAGTATCTTATTAATTTTATACTATTTATTGATACATTTAGTCATATCTTTCTATTTTTGTTTTTGCATTATTTTCCAAATAGTGTACTGCATAAGGTTTATCAAGAATTTTAGCATTAAAAATCTAAAATTAAAAAATATTTAAAAAAATAAATCTCAAATTGTATAAAAAATCATTTTCATTAAAAAAAACTGATTAATGAAAATAACTTAGAAATGAGGGGCTGTAAGTGAAATGCATTTATTTTATTTTTTAATATTATTATTTCAAAATATTGAAAGTGTTCCCATTAAAATTTGAGAAATTAAATGTGCCCCTCCCTATTTCCCTCCTATTAAATAATTAATTTTGTTATCATTTTGAAAGTAATTAATAAAATTTTCTTTTGTAATTATTATCAATAATAATTTTGGATGAAGTTTAAAGTTTACTGATTATCAAAAAATTTTGTTTTTAACAAGCTTATTGTAAATGCATTTTGATCAAAATTACCCTATAAAATAAACCTTTTATTTGAAAGAATTTATTTTTCTACATTGACTTACAAATATATTCTTTAGTTTTCTTTAAAAAAATATTTAAAATGTATTTTATTATCATTTTTTCTATATTTATTCTAATCACGTGATTGAAATTTATTTAACAATATTTACTTTGTTGCTTATTATCCATAGGATAGCATCTTGAGTCAAGCAACGTATGCTGTAGCTCCTATTTTATTATAAGTATAAGTCATCTTCTCCAAAAATTTCTCCTTTAGAAAGAACACATATCTTTAAAAAAATGTAATGAATAAAATAATTTATAAAACTTTTATTTATTTTACTTGTGCTTCTTTAGAGAGAAAATATTTACTATTTTTACATTTTTTAAGATATATTTTAGATGTTTTATTCTAATCTTGCATTTCATTTGATATGAGAAATGATTTAGTTACAGAAAAATCACCTTCAATAATAATAAACATATTTTCACTTTGTTATCCTTACTAGTATATATACTCTCCCAACTTGCATTTCTTGACTAATACATTATAATAAATCCACTTTAAGCTTCCTCTGCCCCACCTCCTAAAGAATTCAAAGCTGTGTAACAAATTAACAATTTAAGCAAGTTTGTTTTCTTCATAAGTCCCTATTAGATAAATAAATTTCGAAGTTAATTATAAACTTAACCAGGTGAAACTTATTTAATTTACCTAATATCCTCATAAATGATTCTTTATTTAGAATCAGCATATGCACTTCATCTTTAGCTATTATTGTTGCTGTTCTTCCTCTGTTTTCAATCAAACCCCTTTCTCCAAAAGACATTCCTTAAGAAAGCACTTTAACTTCTACTAAATTTGCAATGGATATATTAATATTTTACTCATTACTCTACTTATTCTACTTTTAATCATGCAGATTGATCATTACAGAGCATTCTCCCTGTAAAATTAAGTAAAATTCTAACGATTTCTCACCTAATTGAAAAATTATATAAATAAATATTATAAATGTAACCTTTTAAATGTATACCTATAGAGCAAACAATCTAATCTTTTTGATAAATCCTATATTATAATTATTTAAAAAGCTAATCTAGTATCCAAGTTTTATTATTCTTGAATAGTACTAATAAATATGCTAACTTAGGACACAAAAGTTCTCTTAACTTTTACAAATCATATCTATTTCTATCTTGTTGCTTTTTAGTTAGTATTTATCTAGCTTCCTTAAAATAAAAAGGATGAGATAAGAATGATATGGCTTATATTTTACTGCTAAATCTTAATGGTAGAGATTCTAAAGTTAAATATCTTTATCTAATTTTGAATCTACCGCATATCCTTCACTCATTTATTATTTAATTAGATTGCTAACAAATTAATATTAGCAAATATAAATTGATTTAATTAATTAAATGTGTTTATAATTATTATAGTTTATCATAAGAAATGATCTGACTATAAATCAAATATAAAATTTGATATTGAACACTAATTTAATATAAACTTACTTTTTTTTAACTGTCTTATTGCTAATATTTTATAATAAAATGCTTACTACTAAATAAATCTATTATTATTACAAAAGCTATATTAGTAAATTGACAAATAAATAACAATTTATAATATTAACTTTATTCATTGTTTTATTCAAACATTTTTCTATCTTTCTTTCTGGTTCTTTTTTTTCTTCGAATTATGATTAAATGATAATATATTAAGATAAAACATATTATACAATAATATTTTATTAAGCAAATCGTTCGTAATTTTAACTTTTTTCTTTAATTATGTTAATATACATCTAGGTTATCTAATTATTTATTATCAGTAGTTCATAATTATGGACTTAAACTTTTAAAATTAAAGATTTTTTAAAAACCTGCCTTAATATATTGTTGCCCTTGATATATGAACCTTTACAGTATATTAATTTATATTGAATATTTATGTAAATTTTCATTCATATATATTTATGAGTTTTTAAACAGTTAATAATTAAGTTTTCTTCTAAGAATTATCAAAAAAGAGTATTTATTATATTCTTAATATTCAGCTTCTAATTAAGAAAATAATAAGTAAACTTTTATACATTAAAATTTTGAAGGTATCCCGATACTTTGTTATTTATGTATTTAAAAAAAGAAAAAAATTTGTTACTTAAAAAGCAAATTATAAGAATTTAACAATCAATCAATTCTTTTATAAAAAGAATTAATAACTAAATAATTAATAGAAATACTTTTAAACATAAACACATATATAAGCACACAATAAATTACAAAATATTTGTAAAAATTTTTTTAATGAAATTTAAAGCTTTTTTGTTTTTATTAGTTATTTTAAAATGAAATTGTTGGTTTTTTTATTGGAAAAATGTTTGAAATAAAATGAAGTTATTTACTTATTTTGGAGAATTAATATTTGGTATTATAAAACAAAATAAATATTTTTGAAAATTTAATTTTAAGAAATATTTCAAAAGCAAGATGAATAATAAAAAGTTTCATCTTCTTTATCATCAGAATTACTATTTAAATGAATAGAAGAAATGTTTTTATTCACAACAGGATTCTCTTTTGTTGTTTTTTAATTAATTTGAGTTTAATTTTTCATTCCTTGCTTATATTCTTTCATAAAAAGCTCTTATTAGATATTTCCTAAAGAAAGTTAAAAAATTAGATTTATACTATTACTGTCTTTTGAACTTGACTCTATGTATTATATTCCATAATTGTTTGCAATCTTTTTTAAAACCTATGAAGGATGTTATTAAATTTGTTTCTTTGATTGTATAAGCAGTGAGGAAGATCTTTTCTAGTTTGGATTTCTTTTTGGTTCCTCTAAAAATTATTTAAATTAATTTTAATCATTGCTTAATTAAGCAGCTCTCTAATTTTATAAAGAAATATCAAAGTTATCCTCATTCTACATATTCATTTAATAAGATTATACTAAATCAGATTTAGTTCCAACTAAAATAATATGAGAAGAAAGATCTTTAAATTCGCTTATATAGTCAGATATTAACTTAGATTCTAACGTATGATTTTGGATAACTTTTATTAAATCACAAGTTATTATTAAATTAGTGCTCCTGTCACATATAATGGGAATTTGCTGTTTGTTTGAGCATTCTTAAATCAAGAATCTTTCATTTAAATTAACAAGTTCTACAACCTGGTCTTTATAATCATTGTCATTCCTATTACAAAAACAACTTATAATTGAAGATTTTCCACTCGCAGAGTCTCCAAATATACAGACCTATATGTCTATTTCCTTAGTATGCTCAGTTTTAAGAGTTCTTCCAAAGCTCATTTTTTTGTTAAAGTACTTATATAAATTTTATAAATTTCTTAGCTTGTCAATAAATCAGTCAATTAATTATTTTTTAGATTTATTTTCTACTAAAAAAAGAAATTATAAAATTAAAGTTTAAAAAAATTAGCTAAATATTTCATAAATTTGCCAAAATTGTAATAAATTCCTACATTTTCTTTTGCATTTTATAAAAAATACCAATGAAATCATAAAATAATTTCAACAATATTTATGCCTAAAAGCAGTTAAATTTGATAAAATTGTAAAACTATCTAAAATTTTTAAATTAATCTCAATATATATTTCTTTTGTGAATATCTTCAATCAATCAAATCTTTTATAAAATTATTTTTTAATTTAAAGTTAATTTTTTCTTTAATTTTTTTATATTATTAAAAGTTAAAAATAATTAATATAATAAATCTTTTTAAAATAGATAAAAATGATTTTTAAAATTCAAATTAATAAAATTTACTAAAAGATTAAATATTGAATTGATTATTAAATTAAAAAAAGATGACCTTTCGCTTTTAATCTTATTAATAAATTAAGTTTATTAATCATTTATTTATTTGAGAAATATAAAAATATTTATTTTTTAAGATTCTATTTTCCATTCATCTACTTAAAATTATATTAAATATTAAATATACCTAATATATTTAATTTTAACGAAGAATCATCCATTTTTATATTTTTTTGAAAAAATTGCTATTTTGCAATATTTTAAAACAAATTTAATTTAGATATATTAAAAATGAAAATAATTTGTTTAAAAAAAATTCAATGGATTAACAGTTAATTTACAAAAAATTATATAGACTGACTGACTTATTAATTTTATAATTATATTTTATTGATAGTTAGATATATTAATTTAATGAGTATTTTATATTTTGTAATGCAGAAAATGGTTGTTTGATTTATTGGTTAGTTAATTTTTCTTATTCATATCTTAACTTAAGTTTTTTTTTAAATCAGTTAATAAATATGGTTGTTATGTTAGTTACTTATTTAGTATGTATAAATATTTCTTTAAATTTTATTAAATATATATTTTTATCATATTGAAAATTATTAATTCAAACTCTTATTTTACTATTTGATTTTTCTTTAGACAATTTTTATCAATTTACTTTTACTCTACTTGTTAATTTTTCATTTATTAATTCATTAGTTTGGTAGGAAGGGATTTATTTGTTATATGTTTTTCAATCGGTGTACTAACTCTAATGCCTTTATTGCTGAAGGTAGTGCTTGATATTGGTTTTATTTGCTTTCTTTTTCTTCTAGCAGCAGCTGCTGATTAACCAATTCTCCTATATTTTTATCTTAAAACGCATTGTTACTTAGCTGAGGGTTGTTATTATTTTATGAAGGTGACTTAGCTAAAATTAGCTACCTCTGATTTAATGTACTCATTTAATTATGTTACTAACTTATGTAGTCTTTGATAAAAAGACACTCTTGAAGTAGTTCTTGAGAATTAAAGGTTACTTTACCAGAAGAATTTTAAGCTTAGCTGCAATTATCTATAAATTCTTAAAGCTTATCCTTTAAAATGTTGTAGCTACTTAATTTAGTATCGTTCTTTTATTAGTTAGCTTGCAAACTTTTAATCTAGGCTTCGTATTTTTAAAACTTTTCAACTACTTCTTGGCTGATATTTTGTTGATTGTGCTTTAACTAATCTCTTTCAATAGAGACTTAGTCAAGTTGTCTCATAAGCTATTAAATTTATTCTTAAAGACGCATATTTTATATTTTTTCAATCATGTATTAATTGTTTCCATTAAAATTGCTTGTGTTATTATCGTCCTAGTCTAAATCGTTGTTCTGGTTATTATTTTGGTTATTATGTAAATTTATGCTTCCGTTACTCAAGTAGCTGTGTTAGCATTTTGAACAGTTCTTAACAATACTTCTAAGTAATTCGAGTTCTTTCTCCAATTCAACACAGTTAGTGCAGTTGCTATACATTGTGTAATTAGTCTTTTGAACTGAGCTATTGTTATTACTATTAATACTTGATTATTTAGCTGAAGCTGCTGAACCTACAATCATTCTGTTTTAATTTTGCATTCTAGTTGTGTTATTATCTTACCTACTGCTATTTTGTATCATAGAAATAGGAATTGTCTATACATTGTTCTTGTTAGAGAAATCCCCAGGTCCTTGATAAGGAGGCCTAATCAAAGAAGATGATTAACGTACTTCCTAGTTTTACTGCTATTAAATTAGTAAAGAAGAATTATTTAAATTTTAATTGTTAAAAGAGTTATTGTTTATTAAATTGTTCGATCCATTATTTGTAATGTTAATCATTGAAGAGTTGGTAATGCTTGCTGCATTGGTAGCACCATTTTGATTTGCGTTATAGCTACCACTGTTATTAGTCTATAAGAACTATTAAAGATTATGATAGCTATGAGATTGTTAATTTGCTTTTCTTAAAGTTTATTGATTCTAATAAAATTACTTGTTATTATTAATTTCATCATTCAATACCATATTGTAAATAGAAATGCTGTTATTACTGCTGTTGTTATTGTTATTTAAGCCATAAGCTGAGGACATCGTTGCTGATAAATTGTTGGGATTAAGACTATGATTTATTGTCCTTGGTGATTTTGCTTATTGATATCTTGGGTTGGAGTTTTATTGAATGGTTAAGTTATTGCCTTATGTTGAAGATGTAGATTGCTCAGTATTTAAGCGATTTGATTTGGATGGAGTTATTAATTGACTAATTTAACTCATATTATATTTATTTGCTGATTTGGAAATAGGCGATACACCTTATTATTATTAATTTGATTGCTATTTATTTAGAGGTGAACGTGAGCGATTCAGAATGCTATTTATATACTGGGTCTAGTTTATATGTTGTCTCGCACTTGGTTGTTGCTACTGTTAAAAGTATTAAGCTTAGTTTCCAGATTATGAACCCTAATTGTATTCCTAATTGAGGGAATTCGATGAAGTTAATCCTAACTGTTGATTCTAACTGCTTTGTATAGGAAGTGATTGCTAATGGTTTAAATTTAACTATTAAGAACTCTAAACCCATTTACTGCTATCATTTTAAATACTTAAATTGCTTTGCATATTTGAAATACTTCTGTTATGTACTGGTGAAAGACCACCTCCACCATTTGATGGATCCCTATTTCGAGGAGTAATTGAAGTATTCATTTTTTTAGCAGACTTAGACTAGTATAAGACTCCTTTGATCTAAACGTTGTTATTCATGTTTCAATAAAAATATAAAATGCGAATTTAAATTTTTTTTATTCTTAAAAATAATTTATTTTATTTTTGGTGCTAAAATGTTCTTTTTTTTCAATAATGACTATATTTCAATAATCTTTTGCTAAAAAAATGTTTAATTGCTTGTTAATGAGAAGCTTTTCCTTAAATAAACAAATCTTAAACTTGATTTTGAACGCTTTTGAATTTTTATCAGACTTATTGATTATACTTGAGACCTGAATGCCTTTTTGTGACTTACTTATTGGCTTTTGTAATTAATGCTTTATAGTATGTTTCTTAAAAACTTTACAAATCCTTTTGAGTGGTATTAAAAATATATTTATTAATATCCAATTAGCTTTATTTTTTTATTAATTGTTTAATATAAAATATAATTTAATTACTTAAGTTATTGATTTTTTATTGTATGTTTATATACTATTTTCTTCTTTTTTGTTTAACCCTAAATTATTATTTTTAAGTCAATCTTTTCTATTTATTTTTGAGGTCATATTTGAATAAACCACACAAATAAATAAATAAATAAATAATTAATCCCATGTTATTTCCATTCTAAATTAAAGCTAGTTAAGGTAAAAAACTTGGCGTAACTCATTTTCTTTCTAAGAAATAAACAAATGCCGCAAAAAAGTTTTTAATTTATTAAAATTAACTTTTGTGATGGCATTTTCAAAATATTTTTATTGCTTACACCAATCCAAATCCACAAACAAATTAATATTAAAGGAATTTCAAATTTATTACAAGAAAAATAGTTATTTGCTAAATAATTTAATAAATTTCTTCAATTTAATTATTCTTCTTTTTAAACTTATATTATTGTTTTGTGATTTCAGAAATATGACAGAAAATGTTCATTTTCTCCTTAAATTTAAAAATATAAGCGAATTTAAAGCCACACAATTTTTTAGTTGTTACTAATTGATGTTTTTTTTATTAAAATTATAAATATATAATTTATCTGCTTTTAATTTAAATAAAAATCCAGACAAATTTAATATTTTAAAGACTCTACTAAACAATAATTTAGTCCATTCTAACTAAAAATTTAATCATTTTTTTTTGCAAATCTTTTCAACAAAATTCATATAATTTTAGATGTATTTTTTTATGTAAAAGTAAATTGCTGTATCAAATAATATAAGATAAATTAGTGTGAAATTTATTAGAAACAGCAAAATAGCAAAACAAAAAAAAAATAGACCTAACAATTTCATTTTCTTTAATTAATTTAAGGTATATTGTAAATTAAAATGATGAAATACTAAAAAATATACTAAAATAACACTTCTATAGACGTAAAGCGTTAAAATATGAAAATAGAGAAACAAACTTATTATACTTATATAATAAAAAAATATATTTTTTGTTTTATTGTTTGATTAAATAAATAGTCAAAATTATTAGAAAGGTTTTATTTCTTATATTAACATAATAAAAAAATTACTACAAATTTTTAAATTTTATGAAAATTTTATTAATATTAGTAAAATAAGGGAGGGATATAATTAAGGAAATAGTAGAAAAAATAATAAAATATAATGCATAATCGGTTTCCTTCTAACACATTCCAATATATAGAACTATAAGTTTTTCCAGACAAATCGAACAAAATATAACATCATTAATTGTAATTAAATATTTTATTATAATTTTGTGAGTAGTAGTTTATTTGAATTAATATTATAAAAAATAATTAAGTAAGTTTGAAAGTGTTTTGTGAATAAAAATATACTAGAAAAATGAATACATTTTGTAAAAAGAAATAAATTAGATTTACATATTTATTTATACATAATCATATAAATTAATAAAGTTTATAAATAAATTATCTCTCATCTTTTCTTTTACTTAAATGCTTATTTAAGTAATTTTTTAATAATTTTTAGTTTTTATTTAAGATGATAGATTTGTTAATTATTTTATTGGTTTGTTGATTGATTGATTGATATTTGGTTGGTAAATTGAATAATATGGTTCCTAACCAGCTTCATTAATTAGATTTAATTTAATTAATTAGAAATTTTCATTAATAAATTTAAAAAGGATGGGCTAGATAAAAGTAATTTTTTTCTTTGGTTATTTAAAAATATATTTTATTTATTTAAATTTGTAAATTTATTTGTTAGTTTCTTTAGATTCTTAGTGGAAAAAATATGTCAAGAAAAAAATTTCTAAATTTAGCTAGCATAAATATCTCACAAAAAGCTTTTGTCTGAGAACTGATTACTTTTATATATTTCATTAGTTTTGGATTCAGAAGTAATTAAGTTATTGGTGAATTAATTGAAATTAAATGGAGTGGGAGTGTAAAGTGTGTTTGGAGAGGTGGTAACGGCTGTATATTAATTCATTGAAGAAGTTATATTTTAAGGTACATACTCTGGTTCTTCAGGTTCATTTAGATAAGGTTCGGCTTCATCTATCAAGTCTCTGTCTCCTGCCATTAAAATGACATTTAAGAGTTCACACAAGCTCTCCTTTGTATTTTTCAGTCTATTTTCAGTAGAAGTAACCTGATACTTTAGCTTATTCATTTCTTCATCTTTCTATTTAATGTAGCTTTTCAAGTTATCTCTTTCCATTTCTATGTTTCCTCTCTCAACCTTATTTTTAAAAATAAATAAATTAATTAAAAATAAATTAATATGATTGAAATGCTTACTGAAACTTTTTTGAGATTATTATTTAACTCATCAATTTTATTTTGTAGCTCTTTGCCTTTTGATGAGGAAACTTCAGTTCCTTCTTTGTTTAATTGTTGTTGTAAAGCAGACTTTGCTTGGTTGTATTTTGTTTGCATTTCTTTTAGATCTTTTTTAAGTTGATCATTCTCACGAGATAGCTTTCCTAGCTCAAAATCGCTTTCTGTTTTAGATCTTCTTAATTCGATAACTTCAAGTTCTCTATCTTTTTTAATTTTTGAATTTTCCTCTTACAAATCTTTTATTTTCTATCTATATTCTTTTTCTTATTAGGCATTTTTTTATGATAGCTCTTAAAGTTATCTCTACAAGCTGAGCATATTCTCATTTTCAGTATCTTCTCTTTAACTTTTATTCACTAAATTCTTAAAGTATTCAAGGTCTTTTTGCTTTTTAGAAATTTCACTTTGGTTTTCTTATAATCTTTGATTTAATTCTTCTACAGTCAATTATAAATCTTTTATTTTTTTTTCATAAACGCTCTTTTCTCTCTCGAACTTCAAATTAAGTTCATCCTTAATTATTTCTTATTCATCTTCAAGTGCCTTTAGCTGCTTTTACATTTCTTCATTCTTTATTTTTTTTAAATATAATAAGACAAAGTTTATTTATTTATTTTTAGGAATGCTAAATTAAAAAATTGTTATTTGCTTACTGTGTCTTTCATATTTTGTTATTTTAGAGTCTTAATTTCTTCATATAATTTTTTAATCTAATCTTCATAACTCTAAGCTTCTTGCTAAAACCCATTTTTACCAACTGATTGTCCATTGAAACCTTCTAGAGTAGAAATTCTAGCTTTTAACCTTTGATTTTCATTTTTTAAGCTGTCAACTTATTGCTTAAGCTATTTATATAAATAAAGTATTTAATTATATTTAGTTTAACTTATTTTATTTATTTTTACACTATCGTTTTCTATGATTTACTCTTAAATTTTTTGTCTTAAACTCATATTTTCTTCCTTTTATTGCTTAAATAAGTCTCTCATTTGATTTGAGTTTGTCAATTCTTGCTATTTGGATATGTTAGAAATAGCATTTTAGAGTGTAGAATTGCCATTAGTATTTGAATTATAAATTTATGAGGATCCATTCGTGTTAATTTATTTGCTAGCTTGAGCTGTTGATTATTATGAAAATAGATTTGATCTCAACGAGGACTCATCCTACTAATGGTTTCCTCTTGTAGAATTCATTGTTCCATTACTGTAATAGGTAATATAATTATTAATTTAAAAACCAATAAAGACAATTAAATTAATTAAAATGATCTTACTTTTATGGATATTCTTAATTATTACGACTAAAAGATACTTATTTATTTTATTGATCAACTTTTGTCATAGGTGACTTAGATCCTAATTATAAATTATCAAAATTAACTAAATAATTCATTTATTTAAATATTTTAATCGTTATTTTTTGTTTATTTATTTAGCAATATTTTATTTAAAATAATATTTTTGAATAAATCCTAAATAAATATTTGCTTTATAATTTCTATTCTATAAAGCGAAATGAATACTTGATGGAAAATTGTCTATATCTTGGATTTGTCCTCTTGCACTATTCATACCACTTGTATCAATCATTGGAGAAACATCTCTAGCACGGTTGTTAGATGTGCCGGTTTTTGTTCTATTGATAACCCTTTAATATAAACAATAATATGAATTATACGGATTCCGCTTGAAAATTAGTAAGTTAAACAGTTGTTTTAAAGAATAAAAGAAAAAAAATAATTTATGCTACTAAAGTAAATTTATAATTTCTACAGTTCCTATTTTTTATTTAATAAATTTTAGATCAAAATTTCTACCTTTCTTCTTCTTCCTCTTCCTCTTTTTTTTGATAATATGAATAATCACCGAATTCATGTACTCTAATTTCATATAACAATTTTGCTGAAGTGTCAGGACATTTTTGCAATTGCCTCTATTCCATCATTGTTTTTATACTTTTGTTAGCATAAGCTGCAACATCAAACTCGATTTTACCAGCAGTTCTTACTTTCTTTTGGTGGATAATATTAATTTACAGCTCGGCCTATGTTTATTTTTATAAATTATAGCAATTATTCCATTAAAATATTTATATAATTTGAATTTCAGATTTTCAATATTTATTAAAAATGAATGTATCCATTAATTTATGAATTAATTACACTTTTTGCAAGAAACTCTCTTTTTTTATCATCCCAATATAATTTGGTAGGGACAGTTATTTATTGCTTGTTAAATTTAGCTAGTTTATCTTTAAGAGGTGCAGGTATTTTAGTTTCTGCTTTATGGTCACCTATTTTTACAAAAGATATTTATTTCTTTATCTAACATTAATTAATAGCAAACAAAAAAGAATATTTAGATTGAGCAATTACCTCTTTTCAAAATGATGGAAATTTCACAACCAGGCACATTTACATTCATATAGAGCTTATTTAGAATAATATCTATTTGATATTGGACCGCTTTGGTTCCAACACGTTTGAAAATATCCATTTTTATGCTATTTTGAATTAGAATTATCTGCTACTTTTTTCTTGCTATAATCTTATTTTGAAGATGATGACTTTGATTGATGTGATTGATGAAAATTATTTATATTTATTTATATAGTTAACTTATTCTTTGAAATTTAATTATTTATTGGTTTTTTGATATTTTAGTTGATAAATTTCTTATTTTAATAAAGTTTTAATTTAAAAAATTTACTAGTTAATTCTGCTATTCTATCAAAAACAGTAATAAAATATTAGATTGTTATTAAATATATATGAGCTATGAATCAAAATGATCCTTTTCAATCATATTTTTATTATATTATTAATCTTATTTTATTGAAATTGATTGAAATTTACTTTTTTTCTAGCCTAACTATCTATCTCTACATTTTGTAATGATAACTTGCTTTAATATCAGTTCACTATAAAAATCTAATTAAGCTTGAATTAAATCAATCAATTTGTGATTCAAATATGCCAATATCATCTCTCCTCCGAATTTTTCGTATAGATAAACGTAAATTTATATCTTTGAATCTATCAATCTATTAGAAATTTTTTTAAATAAAATATAATTAATTGCAATAATGTTATTTCTATTTAAAAACTAAGGCATAAAAATCAAATAATTTGGCTCAATTACGCTATTTCAATATATTCCTTTGTTAATGTAATAAACAAGTAGATTTATTTAAAATAGTCTATTTCATCTAAATATTTTAAATATTTCTAATCAATTTCTTCTTTTAAATATAATGAATTAATAAAGTGCCAGTAGATTGATAATCGATGAAATATCTAAATAAGAAAAGGCTCAAAATATTTCCCTTATTAATAATTTTTTATCTTTTTATTTAAACATAAAAAATAGTAAAAATTAATAATTAAAATAAAATAAAAATTGTTCTTTTAAAATATTTAATTAAAATTATTTTTATTTTTAGCTTAACAGTAACTTTTAAATTAATAAAAACTGCTAAAATAATTTTAAAATAGCTTGAAGTTTTATTTAGTATTTTTACGTTAAAAATTATAAATTTTATTTTTGTATTAATTAAAATAATTAGAACTTACATTTTTTTATATTAAAAATAGTAAGTTTTTCTTTTAAATTTATTTTTCATGGCTTTTCATGAATCTTCTTTATTTTTTAATAAATAATATTTCTAAAAATAATAAAAATGTAAATAAATTTAGTTATTAAAACTGGATTTTTTTATTCTATTTATATAAATTTTTATTCTAAGTGAAATATTTGATTCTAAATATGTTTTGTTTTTATCATAATTATTTTTTTACTTTGGTATTTTATAAAAACAGATATTTTTATGTTGAAAAAATAAAAGAAAAATATTTTTAAAGTGTATCAAGCTTAGCCACAAAAAATTATGATTGTTCTATAGATTTGTTTTAAATATTTTTCATATTAACATTTTATAGAACGATATTAAAAATTAATAAACTTATCTTCAAAGTGTTTATGTTAAATATTAAATTTATTAAACAAATTTTACTTTAAATATTGAAATGATAGAGTTTCTAATGTAAATTATGTGCTTTTCTTACAAATAAATCCTTATCATAATATCTTAAATAGTCTGAGAATCAAAATATTTAGGATTTAACTAGTAAAAATTCAAGAAAATAAATAAATAAATTAATATATGGATTGATGGCTGGCTTATTTATGTTTTGAGATATTTATTAATTTGTTTGCACTTGGTTATTACTAATCTTTATTACCCTTTTTATACTATAAAGTTAGATTTATCAAGATGTTAAAAAAATTAATAATAAATTTCCAAGCTCATTAATTACTTGTAATTAGAAAAACTAAAGTAAGTAAAGCTGCAAAGTTAATTAAATAGAAACTTAAATAATTAGTGTATTATCATACAAATTTATCATACATAATCAGTTCATAAGTGAGTTTATTCAGTTAAGTCAAAGCTGAGTTATGGATGGCAGCTCTAAAGAGATATTACTGAATAATAAAGATTTTAATAATAGCAGTATTTTTTAAAGCAATGGAGGAGGGATTTAGTTGAAAGTTGCGGATAAATAGTAGGAAGGCAGATAGCATTTTATTAATATTATAGCTCCTCCATTAATACCTGATGAGCAGGCAGAAAAGAAAGATAACTAGAATAAACAAACAATTGATCAATAAAATGAAAAGTAAATTTAGGGAACAATGTAGACACCAATAGATTTGAATGAAAAATAAATATCTCCTAGTAATTAGAGCGATTCAAATAAACTTTTAATAAATCCAAGTTAACCAAGAAGACGCTCTCTTTTTGGTTTGCAGTATGATAAAGAGGTAAAAGAGAAAAAGAAAAAAAGGAATTCAAAGAAAAAAGTAACTTATCAGTCAACTAACAGCAAAAAAGATAGAAAAAGGTCAACATTGGTGAAAGATGATGACTTCAGGGTAGATGATACAAATGGATCAAAAAGTAGGAGAAAACTAACCAATAACATTTTAGAATAGCAGCTGAAGAGATAGTAGACATTGCTTGCTGAAGCAAAGGTAGAACAAAACGAAAATGAAAACTATTAAGATAGGGATTAGGATGCAAGCAGAGGTTAAAACAAGAAAAAAAGCAATAAATCAATTAGTTAGTCAAATTAAAATCTAACTTCAACAAATCAAAACGAAAACACAAATGATTTAGCTAGTAAAAAATCTGTGTAATTAAAACAAACTTCTAAAACTCAAAATCCTTATGATGATTTTACGCTTGAAGACTTAAAAATTTTGTAGGATACAATTTAAATTAATAGGCAAGAACTAGAAAAGGAATTAACCGAAATTCAATAGCAAAAATAGATTAAAAAATAAATTACTTTATAACCTTAAGTTGCAAGAAAATGGGAAAAAGTTAAAAATTAATTGATGGCTTTTACCATGATGAGGAAGATTTTCAACGATATTAAAAAATATGGAACTTCAATGCAAGCACTCAGCATTTCAGATTAAGTAAATATTTCATTCATTTTAAAATGATTATTAACAATTTAAAACTTCTCATCAAATTTATTGAATCAGTTAAGCTTAAATATTAATTAATGACCAAAAAAAGTAAATTTCCACCATTCAAATAAATTACTACCAATAATCAAAGCAAAAATAGAAATCTTTTCAAAAATTTTTTGCTTATTTTGCATAGAGAGCCCTATGAACTGATCTTACCAATCAAATAAAAGCTAAAATAAAGATTTAATCAAATAATAGAACAATTCATGGGATGCTTATTAATATTAATATATTACTAAAGATTGATTAAGACTTATATATAGTTTGTTTGTCTATTTTAATGCTTAATTCTGAATTTATTTAAATCATTTTGTTTGTAGTTTACATTTTTTAATTTGAATATAGGTAATAGAGAAATGTAGAGATTTGTTAGAAAAAAAATAAGAAGAAAAGCAAATAAGAAAATGCTTATTTTATCCAGAATCTTTTATTTTAAATGTTTGGGCTTCTATAATCTTTCTTTTGTACTGTTTCACTGCTATTTACAATCCTTACTAAATATTTTTTAAGCCAAATGATGAAATTATAAATAATTCAATAGACGTATAAACTGTAAACTATTCACTTGATTTCCTCTTTCTTTTGGATATTATTGTCAAAATGAATACAGCTGTTATTACCAGTGCAGGTGAAATTATTGAAAATAGAAAATAAATTATTATAAGATATATTAAGGGATCATTTTTCTTTGATTTGCTATTAGTCATCCCATTTCAAATTCTTGGAATATTATTTCCAGTCCTTGATTAGTAGATTATAAAAACTCAATCTTACAATAAAATATTTCGTATTATAAGAGTACCCTTTTTAATGAGCTAAATCTCCCTTGACTAAAAAATATTTGACTACTTTAAAATTTAAACTACCATTTAGAGGTTGATAAGATTCTTTTTCGCTGTTGCATTCAGCATTCATATTGTAGGCTGTCTTTGGGTATTTGTTGCTCGTATCTAGTACTACGACAGAAATACTTGGATCAATGAGTAATCAATATTTAAAAAATATATTTTTTCCTTTTAAATTATTATTGCAAAAATGTTATATTTTTAGTTATTTTAAATGATACCAAAATTAAAAATATAGCCTTCAAAAACTAAAAATTTTATTAATTCATAATTTTCCAAGCATTTAATTTAATTTATGAATTAGAAATTTACAAAAAAGTTGATTAAGATAAAAAACTAAAGAATTTAATCGAAATTTTAATTAAATTTGCATATAAATTTTGAATGTAAACTATTTTAGTGTTAATAAATATACGCATCATTTTTTTAAAGAATTCATTTATAACTTAAAATAATTAATGGTTTTTTGTTAAATTTTTAATATAGAAACGATATTTAACTCAGTGATTCCACAAAAGTGTACCTTTTTTCTATTTATTGGTGCTTGTAAACATTAGCAACAGTTGGTTTTGGTGATATTCATGCTTCAAATAATGGTAAAATTAAAACGAAATAAATTATACTCAAAATATATATGTTTTTTTTTATAATTAAAGCTGAAATCGTTTTTAGCATTTCTTGGATGATTATTGGGGTAGGATTTTATTCTTTCGCAATTGGTTAAATTTCCAAAATGTTTACAAATTCAGAAAACAGAAAATAAAAGCTAACAAACTCAATTTATATTATGGATGAGTTTTGCACTTAGACTAATCTGCCTAAACACATAAAAGATAAAATAAGAAAAGCTTTACAATATTCTACAAATAAAAGTCTTTTAAGTAGCACAGAAAAAGAAGATTTTTTTGATTCTATTCCTACGAAATTGAAAACTAATCTAGCTTAAGGTATGTTTAAAGGCATGATTACAGAAGTACCGTTTTTAAAGAATAAAGACAGCTTCTTTTTAGCAAATTTACTACCTATGTTATAACCACTTAAACTATCTAAAGGTGATTATGTATACAAGAAAGACTCATATCCAAATTTAGTTTATTTTATCATTGATGGGAAGGTTAATTTTCTGATTGGGCCTAATGATATGGTTTTTAAATCCTTTTTGGCTGGTTCTTATTTTGGTGAAATAGAAATCTTTCATTAGTGCTTGAGATTATTTAATGTAAGATGTGAATCAAGTTGTGAGTTTTTAACGCTTGATAGAGATTATTTTGGTGAATTAATGGATAAGTTTCCTTAAGTTGAATAAGAAATGTTTGAGATGGTTCAACTTAGACAAGAACTAATGAATTAATCTCTTTAAAAAATAGAAATGCTCCTCCCTTTAAAAGAAACTGATAATTTCTGGAAAAATGCTTAGATGAAGTCTTTTGCTGAAATACTTAATCATAGAAGAACACATTCGTTTTTAAATCAAGAAGAGAATAATTACAGCAAAAGTTTAAATATTCAATTAGATGATCAAAAAAATAATTAATTTATCAATAGTAATTTTAAGAGTAATTTAAACACTCTCTCACCATTATATGCAATGCAAGCAAATTAAGATGTTGATAAGAAGTTTTCTGAAAACTAAAATATATCAACATCTCAATCTCCCATCTTACCTGAAGTAGCTTAATTAACTGCTCATGAAGCTTAAAATAAGAAAGTGTTTAGTTACGAAAATACTGCACACAATCAAAATCCTTTAAGTAAAATTAACGAAAATATTAATGGATAGCAAAAAGGTTAGCCAAGTATTGAGAGAGTAGAATCTTTAACATCAATTGGATAGCAACAATTTGATGAAGTTAATCCAAAAAGCATTACAATTTTTAAGAAATCTAAAATTGAATACAATCAGCAAGCAAGTGGTGGAAGTAGTGCAAGTAGCAGAATAAATATAAATAATGATTCTCCATCTCAGTCAAACTTACCAGTAGTTCAATCAACGATGAGCTTGAAAAACAATAACTTAGTCTTGAATGTCTTCAATGAAAAACAAGAGCCAATGTTAGTCGAAGTTTACGAAGAAGAAGTTCAGCAAACAAAGCTACTTTAATCAACATCCACTTCATCAATGAAAAACTTAAATGAGCCACAAGTGCATAGCGAAAATGAAAATGCATTATTAGATAGAAACAATAGTATAAAGAGTTAAGGAAACATTAAAAAAATTTAGCAAAAATATGGTGTGAGCACTCTTGATAGAATCGAAGAAAAAAACTCTCATATTGATTAAGAAAATTTGTCCAATTCATATATAACCAATGAAATTGTTCCTTCTTTTACTTCTTTTAGCATGAAAAATGAAGGAAATTATGAAGTCAATTTAGAAAAAAAATAGTCATTAAGCAGAAATCTAGCAAATCAGAGAAGATCAAGTTTAGGAACCTAATTTTTAACTTAGAACAGCATAAAACAAATTAATTAAAATAATGAACTTGATCTCTCTGTAGGTTCAATAAAATAGAAGCAGAAAGACAAAAGCAATCAATAAGATGTAAAAAATCATCACCAATTATAAGAAAAATCAGACAGTAATGTACTTCTTATCCAACTTAAGAAAGATTCAATAATAGAAAATGCTAATTTGCTTGATGAGTTATTAATGAATGATTCTTTAAATTAAAATAATCAAAAATAAAAAAGTCAAAGCTTTCTTGATGTTAATAAAGATTTTTTGCAATAAGACAGCATTAAGAATAAAAATCTTTTAAAAAAATAAGAAACCATATAAAAAAATAATAATTAAGAAATGAATAAAAAAGATTAAGAAAATACTAATGATTTTACTGAAAAAATCGTTTCAATTTCTTAGTAAACAACTTAATAAATACCTTAAAAATAATCTGAAATTAGTGAATAGTCCATTAAAAATTTCTCTAATTTTTCAGAAGCAATTTTACTTAAGAAATCAGATTCTTTGAATTATAACATTACGGATTCCTAAAAGCTTGCTATTTCTGAAGATTAGAGTTTTAAAATAAATATTTCTGATGACAATAACTAAGAATAAAAGCTTTCTCAGTAAAAATAAAGCAACTAAAATTCATAAAGTAATTCTAAACTTCTGAATAGGAGATAAGATACTTTAAAGCTTCAAGAAAGCAATGAAGAAGAGGAACACACTTCAAATAAGAACATCATATTTTCAGATAGATTAGATAAAATATACAATAATGTCAATAAATCGATTACTTCTATCAATCTAAAAGTGTAAAAATTATCCAGAAAGGAAACTTTAAGTGTAACTTCCTCAAAAAATAAATCTTTGCAAGAAATGGTGATGATTGAAACCTCACCTGAGTAAACTCCAGTAAACAAGAGAACAAAAATTAGCTTTTAAACAAGAGTAAGTAAACCTACATAAATAACATAAAACAGTTTCCACACTTTAGTGTTGGATAAACCATAAAACGAATTATAAGTAAATAGAAGAAACAATTTTCAAAGATTTTAAAAGACTTAGACAGTAATAAACACAGATAGCGATGAAGATAAAAAATTGGATCTCAAGAATTTGAGATAAACAAAAACAATAACTAATTTTGCTGATATTGGTGGTATTAATGAAACAGATGCAGAAGAGCCAATAAAAAATAATTAATCAAATAAAAATGATTTCGACATATAATCTCTTCACCATTTATCCAAAAATGAGTTTGTCTCTCCTTAGAGTAACCCAGAATCTCCACCTCAAATTTACAATAACATAGAAGATTTAGATTTGTTAGACACTAACATAAAGGAAAAGAATAAAGAAGTTCCAAATGAAAAAGCATTAGAAAGAAAAAGGAAAAAAATAGAATTTGTTTCTAAAAAAACTAAAACAAAAGACATGAAGCAACAATAAAAAGAAAACAATTCTAAAAATTTAAAAATAAAGATTTCTAATAAAAAAGAATCAAAAGAGAGAAAAAAGAAAAATAATTTTATATCTAAATTTAATACTTCATATGAAGCAGATAGCCAAGACTAAAAAAAACATATTGAAAAAGAGACTTAATAAAATAAAAAATAAAAAACTAAAAAGAAAAAATCAAAAGCTAAGAAAATTAGTGAAGAAAATAACTAAAAGTTTGTTGATGATAAGCATCAATTAGATAAAGAAAACAAAGAACATGAAAAGAAATCTTTAAACAATATTACAATTCATACAGAACATACAAGTAAAAACAGAAGTTTAAACTCACTGAATATCAACGATATGATGAAACATATTGTTCATGAGGATGATGATCATCATTTCCACATTGAAAGAATTATGAAAACAAGATAGATATATGGTAAACTGACTTCTTCAAAAGATTTTGATTCAAGTGAAAAGAGAAACAGATAAAACGATGGTGATGTTTCATCATCTTCTTCATCAACAAGAAAAAATAAAAATAATCATGATAATAAAGAACCAAAACTTAAACTCCCAAACTTAGAAATGTTGAGGAGAGAAAGGAGACTAAAAAAATCTTAAACAAACTAATTTGAAGATAGAATCAGGTTATTAAAAAAGATGGGGTCTATTTAAATTTCTCCTAACTCGCCTTAAGTTGAGAAGTATAAAATGTCATACAGCCAAAGCATCTTAAGCCCAATAATGAATAAAAATTCGAATATAGACAATCTTAAGAATAAAAATATTTAAAATATATCTTTTTCAGACATGGTTCAAAGCATTAATTCAAAACCTTAAAGCGTAGACAAGATCTAAGAAAAAGAAGGAAATAAATCAGAAAAATAAGCGAAGCTTAATATTAGCAAACATGGAGGAAGAAACTAATTCAGTGATTCTGATGCAATAAAAAAAAAAGTAAAAAAAATAACAAAAGCAGCTGTAGATAAAAAGGAAAATCAAAGGATGGAGAAAACAAAAGAAGACTAAATGAAAAATAAATATCACTAAAAAGAGATTAAAACTTTAAAATAAAACGTGAGTAAAATATCTCATAAACTTGATTCAATTACCTATTAATACGAGAACATTATCAATTTAGTTTCTACACTAACTACTAAGCTAAAAATCGTTCAAAGGTAATAGCAACAGGAAGAAGAAGAAAAAATTAAAAATCAATAAATTAATAACAAAAAAATGCCAATAATTATAAACAGAATAAATAAATCTCCATTGTCTTTGAAAGAAATGGATGATATAGATAAAATACTAGATGATCTTCACGTTTTAAGTCACAAAGATGTTCTTAATCCACTCACTATGAGAAGAAGGAAGAGCTCTTCAGATAGCTAATCATAAGAATTCAGTGATAAAAAGTAGAACTTCTTATCTAAAATCGATTAAAAAGGAATTAAAGATTTTATTTTAGAAAATTGAAACAGAATCAAACTTTTTATAAAAATTATTAATTTTTGATGTATATATCTATCTATCTATTTATAAATTTTGCATAAATTAATAATTATATTAAAATAAAATAATTTAATAAATCTTTTTTGTATAAAAACTAACCTAATAATTAAAAAGCAAATTTGAAAATTTATTCTTTTACCATTTTGAAGAGAACAAAATACTATATTTACTCTAACTTAAAAAGTTTCTAATTTAAAACCTTTGTTCTGTTTTAATGAGGAAATTTTTTTAAAGAATGAGGTACTAGTCTAATTGAAAAATTGGCTCTGCTATAACATATTTATTTATTTCAACCATAAGAAAGAATTCGTTGAAGCCTGGAAAACACCAAATTTTTCTTGTATCTAAAAATAAATGAAATTAACAAATATGCTTAAACTAAAAAATTAAAAAATATTATTTACAGTCAAACTTTAAAAAAAGTTTAATTTTTAAAATAATAATCTATGTAAAAAGAGTATCAGAAAAAATAATTTTATTATCGATTAATTCTTAAATTAGGAAATAAATTCTTTCACCAAACCTCAATAGCAAGAAATCTTTCTCTTCATCAAATAGTTGGTATCAGAATACTGTAAAAAATGATAAATTTTAAGTAAACAAAAAATATTGGTTTTGGCTGTAATTTAATACAAATGCCCTACAAATATAGATTATTTTTATTCCTTCCTCAAAGCATAAATTTATCAATCTATTTCAGAAGAATACTTGCTGATTTCACTTAATAAATGGAAGAAAAATGAATATTATAGAAAGAAAATGATAAACCACGTACAATTAAATTAACAATAACTATTTATTTTTTTTATTTCAGACATATGTATAAAATATTTTCCATTCTAAAAATATTTATGGGTTTTAAAATAAATACCATTTTTAAAAAATTCATGTTAATTATGAATAGGTTTTTAAATATTCATACAATATTTAATTTTAAAAAATATGAATACCCTAGCTTTTATATTTTTGATTTTATCATATTAAATTATTTACAAAATTTTCAAATTAAAATTATAAATGCAAGATAAAACAAACAAACAAATTCATATTATCTTAATAAAGTAGGTAATTAAAAGTAATTTTTTGCTTATAGGATAGATATTAATTATTTGATTATAATTTATCAAATATGATTTAATTATAATTACTAATAAAAAATAAATGGTCAAAATTAGTTTATGTGATTTAAAGCTAAAAATCATAAAGTTAATTTTTTAACAGAAAAGATTTTTGAAATAAATTAATAATTTAAAAAAGTTGAAAAGCAAATAAATTGATTGAGACAGACAGACATACATACACAGTATTTTTAAACTAATGATTTTGATTTAAAATTGAATAGAGACAAGAAGTGATTAATTTATTTATATACATAATGAAATTATATAGAGTATTACATCTAAATTTATACTATTAATTAATAATTTTAAATGATAATAATTATAACTTGTTAATTGGATTTAAATATTTGTTTATTTGAAAAATGGCAATTTTAATTTATTTTTATTTTTTGTTTGTTTGATTGGTTGGTTGGTTGTTTGTTTGTTTTATGAATGTTTTAGTGAGTGGATGAGACTGCTCAAAGATATTTTTAGAGCTGATTATTAATTTCTTTAATTATTGCATTTTATTTTGAGATGAAATCTAGGTGATATATGCTGACGAAAAATTCTTATTTCAATTATACGTAAGGGACATTTAATTTATTTAGAATCATTTGTTTAAGAGCAATACTTGAATTGAAAACTTCTGGAGCCATTTCTTCTCTAGCAGAAATTACATCGAGTGTGAAAGGAATGGCAGGTAATTTACAGTTTTAATTGGTATTTTAGTTGCTAGATTTAATAAAGAAGTCTACATAGAAAGTTTCAACGTTACTTTATTGCAAGTATGTAATATTGAGATTTGTTAACACATTTTCAACAAGATTAATATTTTTTTTCTTGATGTGAGTGAGTAAGTATTGCTAACTTTTTTAATAATTTAAGTTGATTTTGAATTAGTCTTTCTTTATTTCGTGTAAAATCAGAGCATAGCTTGCTTCATAGTCTTAATTCCATACTTAAGGCATAAATTCTTTAACCAAAGTGAATATCTAGGACATTTGCAAAGTAAAATTGTTTTCAATTAATTTTTATGGGGATGACTTATATACTGATAGGTATTACTCAGGATTTTCTATGTTAAATAAGCAGAGAGTACGTACTGTAATAATAAATGAGAAATGATTATCACAGTTTGAATTAAAAGTAGACTTAAGTTAATCTAAAATTTTGATTACTGACTCTCTATAATTTTGTGCATTAATTAATTAATACAAATTCAAAACATTTAATATTTAATTTGAAGACATCTAGCTAAGTTTCTCCATTATAAACTAATCTATTATTTTAAAAGAGACTTCATCTTAAGAAAGAATTTGCCATTAGGTGTCCATGCTTTCATTTTCTTTGTTCTTTGGTGTTTCTTTATCTTGATCTTAAGCAACTGATTCAGACTTCTCTCCATCAGACTCAGAGACTTAGTCGGAGCTTTGTAATGGGATTTAGATGTCATATTCGTAGCTTGTGATGACTCTGCTTGAGAGGAAGTTTTAAGAACGAAGGAGATTTCTTAAAATAACTTAGAATTGAGAAACAGATAGTTTTTGGCTGGTTATTAATTTGCAGAGACTTATGTAGAACATTTAATGTAATTATGGAGTACCTTTCTCATTTTTGCTGAAGATGGAAACGAACACTTTAAGCAATTCGGGATTCTATGATCTGAGTAGAACATTCTAATTATAATCAGAAACTAAGCTATGAGTGATAAATTTGTGGGTCTTTCTGAATAAATCGGAATCTTTGTGATAGTATGTCATAAATAGAATCATTTCTCTCTCCATTTGAGGATTTTCCAATATTTTTTAATATATTTTTTAAAACCAGAAGCGCAATTGTACAGGTTCAACAATTTGTAAAGTGTTGTCCTTATGCTTCATGCATGAGGCATAAAAAACTTGCTTGATTTTGTCTAGTTCAAAACTTTCATAATTCTTTTGAACTTAGTTCTTTATTTGAAGCAAGACTTTATTGCTTAAATGAAAGTTCAAGAAGTCTTCTCTTGATATGTTGAAAAGAGCATACAGAGTGTTTTGGTTGTGCTTTGAAGGATCTTAGTTGATATTTTTGACTATTGGCATAACTAATTGCATCAAGAATTCTCTTTGTTTAAGATTTATTTAGTTGATTTAGGACCTTATTAAAAGGCAATATTGCTAGACGATTTGGAGCTTATCTTGAGCTGAATATGCATTTTCCACCTTTTACATTGCGACCTAAAAGCTCATTGAAAGGGGCATTCTGTAAGCAACATCTATTTTCTTTGCTTCTTCCTATTGCTTATTTTGCAATAAATTGGATTGGGAAATTCTTCTGAAACTTACATGTTCTTCTTAATTATCTTCTTTTAATGTGGAGTTGGCATCAAACCCTAATAATGAGTTGTTATTTGAAAACAGATTTTCTTATGTTGACTCAAGGGTGTTGGTGTAATTGTTTTTGTGGACAGAATCCATTTCGTCTTCAATGTCCTTGAATTGGCTTTGCAATTCCATCTCCTCTTCAGTGAACTTCTCATTTATGTCTGAATACATAGCGAGATTTATGAAGCTCTGCTAAGAAGTATAAGTGAGCTACTAATTTGACTTAAAGTATCTTAAACTATGGAATAACTAGCTGAATTATCTTGGCTATTTCACTAAATTCTGCACTAATTGTTTACAAATCATTTGTGCTTTGGTTTTTACTATGGATGATGGGCTTTTTTGGTTTTCTAGAAAGTAGATTTTCCTTTTTTGATATTTTTACTAACTAAATTTGTTTTTTAGCTTAACAACTATTTCTTGATTTTTGTTTTTTTGGTTGAAATCAGTCTGCTGGTAATTTCTATCTTATAATATTAACTATTTAGGTGTTCTTCTATTTACTTTTAACTTTGCTTTGCTTTTCTTTTCTTTGTTTCCTTGCTAGCTTGCTTGCTTGTTTTTATCTATCTATGTTTTTTTTTGTTTGTTTGCTTGATTGATTGATTGCTTTTTGCGCTTAAAGCGATTATTTATGTTTGCTTGTTTGTTTTCTAAAAGCTTTTTAAAAAAGTTAAAATCTGTCCTTTAAAATTTGTATTAATATTTTAGTATTCTGATTTGATAATTATTTATGATAATTTAATTTTATAAATTTGTAATTTGACCTCTTTAGAATTTCTATGAAATATTATTTGATCCTACATTTTGAATACCAAAGAAAGCTTCTTTACTTTTCCTAGATAATTTCTTTAATTACTGTATTCAATTATTTCTACTTACTAATACTCATGGATGTACTTTGAATTAATGCACACACTCTACTTATTTTTAATTGTGCCATTTATAGATTTTTGTTCTGTTTACAACTTAATAAAGCGTTATTGATTGGGAAATTTAAAGAAATTTCCTTTAGAATCTTCTAATTCTCCTTATAAGAAATGTTTGAAAAACTTACTTTGAACCAAAATCCAGAAACTTCTAAATTTTTTAGTTTAAAGCTTCTTTAAACAAAAGAATAACAAGCAAAGTATGAAATAGCATTTAAAATATATCAGTATTTTAATAATTTATAATAAAAATATTTTTAAATATAATAAATATTTTGAAATAGAAAAATAAAATAATTTATTTTTATAATTTAATTAATTGAATTTTAAAGAATATTTAATTTATAATCACTAATTCTACTTTGGTATTTTGAATAATATCAATTAATAAGATATTAATTAATTAATTAATTATCTAAATACCCAACTAAAAATGAATCTCATATTATTAATAACAATATTATTTATATTCTTGTTTTTTTATTTTGATAATTTAAATATTTTTTTAAAATACCATAAATATCTATTTTAAAAAATTATTAAACGGCAACATTCCAATGAAAAATAAATCAATCTAAGGACTAAATTTGATCAAAAGTTTTTATCTGAATATGTCCTTAATATATGAGAAACTACGGTATTTTATTTATTTATTAAACTACGCTAATTTTTCTTACATTTATTAAAAATAAATAATTAAATTTTAGAATAGGATAAGGATTAGAAATAAATAGCTTCATTTTATTATAAATTACCTTTTCAGCCAACATATTGATTTATATTAAAAGTCTTATTTTCTCCTATTAATTTTCCAATAAAATTGATTTAAAACTATCTATCTTTGTTTTTATTCATAAATACTTTTCAAAATAATAATAATCAACAAACAAAAAAATTCAAAAGAAAAGAAGTAAATAAACTTAGAACTAAATATAAACTAAGATTATGTATAAGCTAAAATAACTCTTTTGGTACTCTGTTTTCTATTATCTAGTAAACATTTATAGTATAGTAATTGCTATTTGTCTATACTTATAAGGTGGAGATAATAACAAGGCCTATTTTATTACTTTCTTTACTATTTTTGGAATTGATAAACTTATATTAATCTAAATTTTAAAAACTTAATATTATGGTCCAGACAGATTAAAAATTATGTTATTTGATATTTTCTAGATTGGATTCATTTACATTTTCTTTGAAGATCATTTTTAATAATTTAGTTTAGTAAATACTTTAAAAACTAAGCTTTACAGTAGAATCATTCCTTAAATTGTTATAGAATTTATTTTCTTTTTTTGGCTCAAAGGTTTGTCTAATCGAGAAAATTCAGAAAGTATTTTGATTGCAACTTTGTTCAACTTTATATTTTTTTTAGCTCTATTTTGCACTCTTTTTTTTGTTATTATGTGGGAAACTGAATTTCTTTTTTCTTACCATGAGATTAATAAAAATTATAAGAGATAAATTTATATTTTCTTCAGATTTTTCTTGACTCAAATGCCATATTACTTAAGTATATGCACATTTTCTCTATATGATTTTAGAATAAATATAGGTTACTACATAATTGTTTTCATAACAATAATAGGATACATTTTTTATATTCACCCTAATTCTGATTGCGAATTCATTAAATTTATTTTTAATTATTTATGTTTTAATGGATATAGAATACATGCGGATAAAGATTTAGGTTACTTGTCAAAAACTTAAGCATATTTACTTATTGCTACTTATGTAAATTAAATGATTAGAGTTGTTATTATATTTATTTTTTTGCTAAAATGATATTTTTGAGAGTTAAGAGATATAAAAAGTAAAGTAAATACTTATATTTATAACTTTAGGATTTAGCTTTTTATAGTTTATTTATCTATTTTATGAATCTTATGTGATTATATTCAAGACTAAGGTCATTAATATCTTTTCTAAAAGTGACATAAAATCTACTAATATTATTCTTTAGAACAAGAAATATACAAATTTCATAATATATCTTAACGAATAATAGAATTTTTAAGATCTATAAGAATAATTATTAAGCTAAAGCGATTTTAGAAATGAACTATCAACTTTTGTAAGACTAATTTTATAATTTCTAAGAAAAAATAAATAAGGGATTTTTAGATAAATAGAGATATTAAATTTAGGTTTTAAATATTTTGATCAATTTTGTGATGACATTGTATCAAGCATAGAAGATTTGGATGATAATTTGTTCTTATATTTAATGAAACATAAGGGATATAATTATTACTTCATGATGCTAAAATAAAGAGTAAAAAATAGATTTTTTTTAAGTTAAATAACCTATAAACTAGCTCGTGAGATTAGCTATAGAAAGTAAGAATATCAAATTTTTAAAAATTTTGAATCTTGTTCATTATAAATAACTTTATTTAAAAAAACATTATCTCATCTTATGTATATTTAACCATCTTAAATACTCTATGACTTATATTAAGATTATTCAAGTCTTTTTAATCTTCGAAAACTTCAAAAAGTAGTGTAATATTCATACTGACTATGTTTTAGATTTATAATATTAGGAGGAAATTTATATAGTACTTCGAGAATTGTAATCTTGGAAGTATTTTACTAATTTAAGTGTATTTTGTAATTTTAATATTAAAATAAAAATATCAAACTTTATGATTGTTCATTTTTTTTTTAAATTAAATATTAAATTTCAGATATAAAATTTTTAATTTATATTAGACTTTTATTTTATCAATAATGTTCTTAATTATTTTAAAAGGTAATAAATAAATAAATATTTAATAATCAAATAATTTCAAAATTAATTCTTTTAGAAAATGATTAAAAATCAGATAGGAATTAGAAATAAATAACTTTAATTTAATTTAAATTAGCTTTTCAGCCTACATATATATATATTAAAAGTGTTATTTTCTCCTATTAATTATCCAAAAAAATTAATTTAAAACTATCTATATGTCTATCTATCTATCTTTGTTTTTATTCATAAATACTTTTCTGCCAATATATTGATTTATATTAAAAGTCTTATTTTCTCTTATTAATTATCCTTAAAAATTAATTTAAAACTATCTATATATCTTTGTTTTTATTCATAAATATTTTTCTGCCAACATATTGATTTATATTAAAAGTCTTATTTTCTCCTATTAATTATCCAAAAAAAATAATTTAAAACTATCTTTCTAATATCTATCATCTATCTTTGTTTTTATTCATAAATACTTTTAAAAATAATAATAATCAACACCAAAAAAATTCAATAAAAAAGAAGTAAATAAAATAAGAATTAATCAGCCAATAAGAATAAATAAATTAATAGATATCTATAAGTAGAAATTACTAATCAAAATATTAGATATCTTAGTTTTAAATTGAATTTAATTAATTAATTTATAAAATAATATTTGAAGTAAAAGAAGGAAGACATTTCATTTAAAATTATTAAGAACTCATCAAATTGTAATTAAAAACTTACTTTTAATAAAGTTTAATATTTCTATATGTAATGAAAACCGAAAAATATTTTTAAATGAATTATACTATTGTTTAGAATAAATAAAATTATATATTTACCACAATTTCTTGATAATAATACCATCTAAGAATTACAGAGAATATTAAGGACTAACCAAAAGTGATACCTTTGCATCATTTTTCTTGAATTTAAAGAATAAAATGTTTGAATATAATTTTGCATTATACATAAAAATAAAAAATATATTAATTACTTTAAAAAATTTTCTTAGATGTTTTAGTTTTAATAAAATTTATTTTTCAGAAAAATTAATAAATTAATTTATTAAATATTTTAAGAATGTTTTTAATAATGTTTATGAACATTTTTTATAAACATGATGATAATAAGTTGATAATCATTATAAGATAGTAATAATAATAATAAGAAATTGAACAAAAAACATAACAGCTTTAAGCTTAAATTAGATAAGTTTTATAAAAAAGTTTACCTCCAATCTTAATAAATAAATTTAATTTTTAATAAATTAAATGAAAAAGTTTACATTACTTTTTTGAATTTTTTACAAAGAAAGTTAATCAACAAATCTAAAAAATTAGTGTGTTTTTATTTTATGCTATTTTTACTGGTGTGAAAATTCTATAAATTTATTGTTTAATTCTGAGGTAAAAAATGAATAATTATTATGAAATATAGAGGAAAAAAGGAATTTTAAGAAGTTTTTTTACACATTATGCATAAGAAACAAGCACCTATCAAATTTGATGAATTAAAGGCTATTTACCCTCTCTACTGAGAAAGAACAGATGTTTAAGATCAAACTTTTAGCTTTTAAAATAAAAATCAATTGAATTTCATTAATTAGCAACTCCAGTATATATTAAAATTCATTTATT